CAAAATTTTCATTTTTTTTCCCCCCCCCCCCCGCCCCAATAACCTTGCAGCTCGCTGTGGTGATGAAGTTGCTCATTATTTAGATCAACTTTTGGCATACACTGCTCCCCATCCTAAACTAGCCCCTATCTCCCAGAAGGGAGGGCTAGATCGGTTCCGAGCTGCTGTGCAAACAACCTGCAACTTAAGGTCCTTGGTGACCAAGGCCAAGGAGCTGCATGTACAGAGTGAGTAATGCCATGACTCACTAGAGTCAGGCACAGGATGACGTGAAGCACAGGATGGGGGCTGGGCATTGATTACAATGTAAGCAGGGTCTTTATTTTGTTCACAGCTTTATCCCCAGCATCTCAGACAGCACCTAGAACATATTAGGCACTGTTTTGCTGGATAATGCTATGTAGTCTGACTTAACCCATAACACAGTAAGAAGAGGCAGAACAAGAGACATGGAGCATATTCAGTTTTAATATCAAAGTAAAAAAAAAATGGTAGAAAGGGCTTTTTCCTTTGGAAAAAAATACTCCTTTGGAAGTAATTTTGTTTAAAAAGAAAGTATTACAAAACTATTACAAGATAGCTGTGCAATAGAGAGGGAGATAGTCTCACTTAAGTAAGCTACATCTGGTTCCCTTTGGCCAGCTGTAACTTTTACAGACAGTTGTTCCAGCAATGTAGAGCTATGTTTGTCAAATACAGTACTCCTTCTTCACAGCTTTGCCATTCTCCTCCCCATGACCACTACCCCCCTTCAGTAGTATTTGTAGCAGAGGATATCTTCTACTACACATTGCCAGGAGTAGTCAGGGTTCCTAAGAGTGTGCAATGCCTCTGTGGTAGCTACAAATGAAGGGAGAGAAGAGCTCTTTGGCCACACCTAAAGGACCTTAATATTAATATTTTACAGTTGATGAGAATGATTGAGATGCATGCTCTTGCTGTCTAAGACTTAATTGACCATTACTAACGAAAGATTTTAATCATAACACTGGGGAATCATTTAACACTTAGGGTAGAGAAAAGCTTAGCATACCTTTTGAGTATGCACCCTTGAGAAAGGCTTATGCAAAGAGATGAAGTTTATTTATTTATTTATTTTTTTTTTTTTTAAAGATGACCGGTAAGCGGATCTTAACCCTCGACTTGGTGTTGTCAGCACCACGCTCAGCCAGTGAGCGAACCGGCCATCCCTATATGGGATCCGAACCCGTGGCCTTGGTGTTATCAGCACCACACTCTACCGAGTGAGCCACAGGCCGGCCCAAGAGATGAAGTTTATTAAGTTATACTTCTCTATTGTGAATCAGGAAACATGAGCTTAATTCCCAGTTCTGCTACTTGCGTAAACAGTTACGAGTATTTGAGCTCTGTATCTCTCTTTCTGTGTCTGTAAAATGGTGAAAATGACAAGAGAGTCTTTCCTTAGAGGTTATGGTAAGTATTTCAACAATGGACTATAAGTAAAAAATCTTAGGAATCTCAAAGTGGGTCAACCGCTACATTTTTTTGATTTCCTACATAGGATCATCCATTCACCTGTTCTCAGAGAAATCCAACTGCTAGCAGCCAGATTTTCTTCTAGGAAAGTCCAGGAAATATAAAACATAACTGGGTTCTTTCTGTTGTATGTGGTATTCTATCAAAGTATCCATGATAGCACCATTGGGACATTGATTACATTAGTAGAATGTGATAAATGTCCAACTGATGCTACAATTCTAGAAATTCAATTCAAAATATATTTATTGATTAACTGGACATTCTTTAAATTATCTAATATTCATATTTCTTTTCTTTGATATTACCAAGAAAGGGGAGAAATTTCTCATTCTTGTTCTATAAAGAACTGACCCATATGTGACCTCATGGTTGAGGTCAAGTGTGCATTTTTATTAGTCTCCTAATTATCTAACGTTTCCTATAAATGTCAACCCCTTGCAGATGTTCACATGTATCTTCCTACGAAGTTATTTCAGGCTTCCTGGCCTTCATTCAACTTACTTGACTCAACTCATCCCTCACAGGAGGACCAGGTAAACTGGCACATGAGGTATTTCAGCTTTTTGCAAAACTGCCATCTTCACGGAAAATAATAGAACTAGCCATTATGGTTCCTTTTAGTAACTAGTGGTAGGCAAAATGCTATCCTGGTGAAGACATATGTCCTTTTCAGTTCACTTTTAAAGTGGACAAGTTTTTCTAGTCAGGCTTTAGGAAAAGTAGATTGCTTTATCTTACATCTTGAAGGTTTCATTACTTTTACTTTGCTTTTCATCAACATTTACAGAACTCTTACAGAAAAGGTTTAGAGGATAAAAGATGACTCATTCTAGGGCATTATTTAAGTTGAGCACTTGTGGACTTAATTTATTTTTGTCATTTCTCAAACTAAAGGTTCCCTCTGTTCATGTGGAAATACATCTTCCTAGAGACCAGTCAGGGGAGGTGGACTTCAAAGCACTAGTTTTACAGTTGAAGGAGACCTCAAGTTTACAAGAACAAGCTGATATCCTCTACATGCTGTATACTATGAAGTAAGTGATGGATGTTATTAATCTACTTTAATATTCATGTAGAGAGGAAGTATAGCATAGTAAGTAGAGCACAGCTTTGGAGTTTCACTGATCCGGATTTGAATATAGTTTATCATCCTGCCCACTGTGTGACTTCAAAGCCTCAATTGTTCTCATTTATAAAATTTGGATTATACCTACCTCATACAATTATTGTAAAGATTGAACAAGATATAATACCTGTAAAGTCCCTAATACAATGCGTAGCACATAGTATGTGGTCAATAACTGATAAGTATTGTTATTACTATTATTATTGTTGTTGTTGTTATTTTTAAGCCTCCACTATTTGGTAAAATCTACAGATAAATTCTAAACTCAAAAAAGGAAGAATATAGAGGCTTATAGGAGAAAGAAACTAATATTTTTGATTGTTTGCCATGTGTCAGACACCCTGCTATGTGTCAGACACCATGCTTTGTATCTAGGTACCTCAAACTCACTATGTCCAAATTGAACTTCTCTTTTCTGCCCTCCACACTCTCATACAAAAATAACCTGCTTTTCCTCCTCTATTCATATTATGTTCACCATGAAAAGGTGACATGGACGCGCTTCCCCTAATTTTGGTTTGGGTGTTGAGCCTGATGATGCCATACACATACCAAGAGGTAGTGGAATGTTTATTACGCACATAATGAGGCTTTCTGGGGAAAGCAGAGAAGGTTCCCAAGTTGCTCCAAAAAAAGTCTCAAAGAGCAGGGAAAGAAGACTGGATTTGGGATTTTATTATGATTAGGGGGCAAGGCTGGGCTTCTCACCAGCACCAAAGAAAAGAGCACTTGGACTTTCTTATCACCTTCTCAGATATAGGGATGAAGGAAGAGGGAAAGTAGAAAGACTGGAAAGCTGTCAGCAGTAAAACAACAAAACTGAGGCAGGCTTTATTAAATTTTTAATCTCCATTGTTGGAGCTGACACCTGCATAATCATCAAGCTACTACCCACATCCTGTTAATCATCAAGTCTTGCCAGTTTTACCTCTAAATACTTCTCCTCTGTATTTCTAGTATTGCTGCCTTCATTCAAGCTTTTGTCTCTCACCAGAACTATTGCTACAGCTTCCTAATAGTCTTCCTACTCCATCTTGTTCTCCTCAATCCATCATCCACAGAGGAGGGAGAATAACTTTTCCTTTTTACTTTCTTATGATATAAATGTTCAAACTTCTACAAAAGTAGAGAATAGTATAATGAATGCTTATGGACCCGTCACCCAGCCTGAATGATGATTAAGACATGGCTAATCTTGTTACCTCAGTATTCTCGCTATAGTCTATCATTTTATTCCTAAATATTTCAGTATTGTTTATAAAAGATAAGGGCTCTTTAAAACATAGCCACAATGGGACATCTGGCCTGGACAAGGTGAAGTAGATGCATTTTTACCTATTCCTCTTGCTAAGTACAAGAGGTCATTATTTGTAAAATAATCACAGGACTCCGAAAGGCAGAGAGAAGAAGCCATACCAGCAAAGGGTCTCAGGATCTGAGGAACAGCATGGTGGCGAGGTTCCTGAGTTTTGGGAGCAGGGGGTCCAGTTTGCCTCATATGTTCTGTACTGGGTGCTGGAGAAGCCAGCAACCTGAAAATGCTAATGGGCACAGACAACAAAATCTCCAAGAAAAAAAACCTATTCCTTCTAGACCAAAGACTAGGAAAGGGACAGTGTAGGAAGACCGACAACTTTTAGACAACAACTACTCTACTCCAGCCAAGAACCATAGAAAAAATGTGGCTCCACCCCTGTCAACAAAGGCTAAGTGGAAAGCCCAGACTTCTATTCTCGTCCAGCTGTTACCAGGTGGGCACTGCTCCATCTTCCCCAACGCCACAGTGTGTCAGTGAAGGCCAAGTAGGGATCTGAGACTTTCATCCCTTCTGGGTTTAACAAAGCCTCCTTCCTGTAGTGTCAGTAGAGACCACATTAGGAGCCTGGACTTCCATCCCCACCCAGTGGTGATGGAGCACCTCTCACCATCTCTGCTAGATAGTGTCAGAGGAACCCTAATGGACTCAGGACTTTCACCACCACCCAGTGGTAGTGCAGTGTCAGTGGATACCACATGGGGAACAGTAACAAGGCGCCCTTCCCACTCCCATCCCATGGTGTCAGGGAGGCCTAATGAGGAGCCTGAATTTCTACCTGGTCCAGCAATAATGAGGCACCCCTCCAACCATGTGTCAACAAAGGCTGAACAGGGAACCTGGACTTCATCCCCGCCAGGTAGTAATGACGCAGCATCCCCTTTCCCCTGGTGGTGTCAGAAAAGGCCTGCTAAAACAGATCTAAATAAGACCCAGATTCTTAGAACATAATACCCCAAATGTCCAGGATACCATTGTAAATCACTTGTCATACCAGGAACCGGAAAGATCTCAACAAGAATGAGAAAAAACAATCAACAGATGCCAACACTGAGATAATGCAGATGTTGCAATGATCGAATAAGGCTTTTAAAGGAACTATCATAAAAATGCTTCAGGAAGCAATTATGAACACCCTTGAAACAAATAAAAAATAGAAAGTCAGAGCAAAGAAATAGAAGATGTAAAGAAGAATCAAATAGAAATTTTAGAAATAAAAAATACAATAGCCAAATGAAACAGAAGAACATAAAGGACAGAGGAAAGAAGCAGTGAACTCAGACAGAACACTAGAAATTACCCAATCTGAACACTAGAGAGAAATAGACTAGAAAAATGAATAGAGCCTCTATAACATGTAGAACTATAAAACATAACCACAATGCCATTATTATATCTAAAAATATTTTAAATTATTCACTAATATCATCAAATATCAAGTCTGTTCAAATTTCTCTGAACACCTCATAAATGCATTTTTTTCAGTTGATTTGTTTAACTCAGGATGCAGTGCAGGTCCACATAATGCACTTGGTTGTTATATATCTTAAGTGCTTTTTAATATCTAGGTTCTCTTATTTTGACAATTTATTTATTTGGGGTTTTTTGTCCTATTGACTTTTTCACATTCTGCATTTCACTGATTGCATCCTCATGATGTTGTTTAGCATGCTTCTCTCTCTTTCGTATTACCTATATATTGGTAGATCTACAGACTTGATAGATCCAGGTTCAATTTTTTAGGCAGGACAACTTTATAGGTGGTACTCTGCACTTCACATATCAGGAGGCCTGTGATGTCTGGTTGTTGTCCGTTTTGTCATGTTAAGATTGATCAAGTATTATTAGCCTGATCTAGTCATTATAAAGTTCCTCATTAGCTTTACTCCAAATGATTTTAGCAACCATCAGTGGTCATTACCTAGATCCATTATTTCCTTACGGGTTGCCAAATCTTAGTCTTCTATTTCTACACAATGATCTTTTTTTTTGGTTTTTTTTGTTTTTTTTTTTCCTTTTTGTCTTTTTTACTGACCGGTAACGGGATCGCAACCCTCGGTGTTGCGCCCGCACCGCACTCAGCCAGTGAGCGGGAACCGGTCTCCACATGGGATCCGAACCCTCGGCGGGAGCACCGCCGCACTCCCAAGCGGCGCACTCTCCAGTGCGCCACCAGGCCGGCCCCACAATGATCTTTTTAATGTGTTCATCTTACCAAGTCTCTTGCCTATTTAAAGTTTTTTTTTTTTTTTTGTCCTTTTTGAGACCAGCCACACCGCGCTCAGCCAGTGAGCGCACCAGTCATCCCTATATAGGATCCGAACCTGCTGCGGGAGTGCTGCTGCACTCCCAGCACCGCACTCTCCCAAGTGCGCCACGGGCTCGGCCCTAAAGTTTTTTGATTTGCTTCCCTTAAGCAGAGGAAAAAGGTTAAGATACTTAATATGGCATACAAGAACCTCCATAAGAAAGTTCCTACCTACCCTCCAGACTCCTCTTTCACCATTCTATGTCCTATAATTGATGTTCCAGCAACACCGAAGTGCTGGTAGTTTTCCACTAACACTATGCTGTTTCTCCCTTCTGTGCCTTTGCTCATGTTATTGTCTCTGCTTGAAACTCTCTTCCGCCTCTTCTTCACCAGACTAACTTGTATTCATCATATATGACTCAGCTCATAACATTGCCTCCAAGAAGTCATCTCTGAAACCTCTCCCTCCCCTACCCACTGCTCCTTAAGACCCTCTATAATGCATGGTACACACCACTAGTACCATATTTCCTGTTATCTTTTATGTATATATCTCATCCCTATTAGACTAAGGTCAGTGACTATGTTTTATTTTTCTCTGTAGCCTCAGAACACAACCCAGTGCTTGCCTTCCAGTATGCCCTCCACGTAGATTGGGCAAATGAGTGAACTTTTTCATTTCATCCTTATACTTTTTTCTATGAGGTAGTTGGTACCTACATTTTCTACAGATGGGGAAACCAGCTCAGAGAGGTTGGGCAACTTGCTCAAGTAACTCAGACTTGAAATTGTATCACCATTTTCAACTTCTGCTTATCACCCTCTCTCCCTACAGCATCGCCACTACCATAACAAATTATTGGCCAAATCTACATCCTCTGTGATCTGACTTACAACCTTGTCTACATATAGCTCCCCCCTCACAATGTGAATGCTCTCACCAAAACAGCCTACTTATGCCTGAAACACTGCCTATACGTGTCTACCTTCATACCTGAGTTCATGTTTTGTCCTCTGCCTAGAATATTCTCTTTTACCACACCCCATCTCTACCTGTTCCAGTTCTCTCTTACCATCAAGACCTAGTTCATCTGTCACCTCCATGAAGCTTTCTCTGATCTCTAAAAATAAAAGAGATCTCATAGCGCTTTTTTCATATTTTTAAAATTTATTTTGACAATTTCAGATTTAGAAAAAAAAGTTTTAAGAGTAGCAAAAAAAAAAATTTCTGGGTATTTTTCACCCAGATCCCCTTGTTGTTTCCACTGAGCTTTAATATCTCTCTCTCTCTCTCCCCCCCCCATCAACATCATCATCTATACCCAATCATACACACATATATATATTTTTTTTTCTGAACCATTTGAGAATAAGTGACAGACATGATCCCCTTCTACCCCTAAATACTTCGATGTGTATTTCCTAAAATCTAGGAACTTTCTTACATAATCATGGCACAAATTGCCAAAACTAGAAAATTAACATTAATACAATACTATTATCTGTTTACAGACCTTATTAAGATTTGTCAGTTGGCTCAATAACGTCTTTATAGCAAATGAAAATCTGAAATCATGCATTTTATTCCGTTCTTATGTATCTTGAATCTCTGTTGATCTGGAACATTTCCTGAGTCTTCATTTTTTGTGTTATTGACCTTTTTGAAGAATAGAGACCAGTTATTTTGCAGAATGTCTCTAAATTTTTGTTTATCTGATATTTCCTCATTATTAAATTCAGGTCACACATTTTTTGAAAGGATACCACTGAGTGGTGCCAGTTTCTCTGAGTGTCACATCAGGAAGCACATAGAGTTGATTAGTCCCATTAGTCTGAGCTCAGGTCCCACTGCTGCCACTTACAGTGGCTCAGAGCACTGAGCAGGCTGCTTCATGCCTCTCATCCTAAAATAACTCATATGTGAAGTGAAGATAATGACAATCCTGTGCTACTTAACCATCCCCCCCTTTGCCCCAGGGCTGGTAGTGTTAACTTTGATCAGTTGATTTGATCGTTTGGTTAAGGTAATATCTTCCAGGTTCTTCTACTCTAAAGTTATTATGTTGCCCTTTGTAAAAAAAAAAAAAAAAGAGTATCTTGTGTAGATACACTTTGAGGCTGTGTAAATATCCTATTACTCTTCAAACTTTCAGTCACTGATTTTTGCATCTATTGATGACCGTTCCTATAGCACTTTTTATTTTGTTTTTTAAATTTAATATACTGAATACATAAAACATTCTCATGGATCAAAATTTTTAAAGTACAAAAGGATATACAGGGAAAGGCTAAAAAGTCTTCCACCTCTGATCCCCACATACCTGGTTCCCTTCATCAACAGGCAGTCAGTCTATTTTGTGCATGTGCACATGCGTGTGCATGCATGCACACGTTCTCCCAGGAGCATTCTATGCATATGTAGGTAAATACAGACATACATGTGGATACCTATACCCCTATTTATCCCAAAGGTAGCATAGTATATACAATGCTCTGTACCTTGATTTTTCACTAAAACTATATATCTTATATATATCTTAAAGATTGCTACATATATATTCCAGTTCATAATAAATCACACAACTCAGTGGCTTAAAATAACAAAAATTTTAATTTTCTTTCACAGTCCTGTGGCTTGCATGGGCTCAACTAGCAGTGGTCCCTCTGGGTCTGTCGTTCAGTTTTAGTCAGACAGTATCTGGGGCTGGAGGCATCAGAAGGCTTGATCACTCATATGCCTGGGGGTTGATACTGGCTGTTGGCTCGAACCTCAGCTGGGGTTACCTACAGCTGGAACACCTACAAATGACCTCCCAATGTGCCTCTCACTTTCTCACAGCATGAGAACTAAGTTCTAAGAGTAAGTGTTTCGAAAAAGAACCAGGTGAAAGCTGTGTTACTTTTTAGGGCCTAGCCTCGGAAATCATATAGCATCACAAGCTATTTTGCCTTAGTCACAAGCATGCCTGGGTTCAAGGGGAGGGAACACAAATTTCACCTCTTGATGGGAGGAGTGGGGGGGTCACATTGTAAGAAGATCATGTTGGATGGAAAATTGTTGCAGCCACTTTGGAAAATACAATCTGCCACAATGTAGATCTACTTCATAATTTCCTAATAGTTGTATAGCATTCCATCATTTGAATACAACATAATTTATTTAGCCAGTCTCCTATTGATGGACATTTGGGTTGTTTCCAGAATACAGTATCACAAATAATGCTATAGTGAATAACCTAGTAGCATACAGCATTTCACATGTGTGGAAGGAATTTATCCTACAGATAAACTAGAAATGGAATTGATAGATCAAAGAATATAGGTATTTTTAAGTGTACAATTCAATGGCTTTTAGTATATTCACAGCATTGTGCATCCTTCACCACTGTCCATTTTAGAACAATTTTATTATGCTAAAAAGAAGTCCTACATCCTTTATACATCAACCCCCAGTTCTTTCATCCCCCTAGTCCTAGGCAACAACTAATCTACTTTCTGTTTCTATAGATTTGCCTATCTGGGACATTTTATATAAATGGAGTCATATAATATGTGGTCCTTTGTGAAAGGTTTCTTTCATTTAGCATAATATTTCCAAGGTTCATCCATATTGTAGCATGTATCATTATTTCATTTTTTTAATTGCCAAAGAGTATTATTTGTGTATCTGTACTACATATTATTCATTTATTTATCAGTTGATGGAGATTTGAGTTGTTTCTAATTTTTGGCTATTAAGAATAACGCTGGTATAAATATTCATATACAAGTTAATGTGGACATATGTTTTCATTTCTGTTGAGTATATAAGAGTAGAAATGCTGGGTCTTATGATAAATCTTGTTTAACCATTTTAGGAACCGCAAGGATGTTTTCCAGTATTTTTAATATTAATATACGAGGGTACTTCAAAATTCGTGGAAAATAGAATTAAAAGATAATGTGAATTTTTCCACAAACTTTTTGAAGTACCCTGGTATATTTCCAAATAGCCCTCCAGAGGGATTATCTTAATTTTCACTCCCACCAGCAACACACTGTGAGTGCTTGTTTTCTCAAAGCCTCACTGATGCAGTGTCATCACATTTGGGGATTTTTGACAACCTGATAGATTAAAAATGTTATCTGGGCATAGTGGTAATTCAAATTTTTGTTATTATGAGGGAGGAGAGTACATTTTCCTATATTTTAAAGCCATTGGTATTTGTTTTGCCAGGTTTGCTTTTGTTATTTTCTATTTTCTTATATATTTGTTTGAGTTCTTTACATATAAGGGAAATTGGCCTATGGATTGCAAATATGTTTCCTAGTTTTTAATTTGTCCTATGACTTTGCTTGCAATGGTTTTTGCAGTAAGATTTTTTTGTCGTTCTACATGTACAAATGTATCATGGCTCTTGGTGTATGTTTCACAATTAAAAGGAGCTTTTATGGCTCTCGGTGTATGTTTCATAATTAAAAGGTTCTCTTGCCTCCAAAGTTATAAAATAATTCTCCCATATCTTTTTTAGTATCTTCACATTTAGATCTTTGATACATTTGGAATTATGGTGCAGTGTGAGGTATGGATCCAACTTTTTTTTTCAGATGGCTACCTGATTGTCTTAGCATCATTTAATTAATAATCTACCTTTATCATATATTAAATTCCGTAGAATTTTATATACCTCATATAAATTTTATAAACATTTATATAAATTTTGTAGAACTTTATATACCTTTTATGTTACTTCACAGTTGACTGTGTTATAACTTTTACAACAATAATGTATATGTGTCCTTTAAAAATAAACACACATCCTTTTTATTTGTTAGTTCCCAAAGTGTAGCATACTTTCTAAACTTTCAGTAGTTAAATTAAATCTTTGTCTTTAATTTCAGCTATGTTGAAACCTGTGAAGAGGGTAAAAGAATGCATTTTGTCCAAGCACAGCTGAAACTAATACTTTTTCTTGTCTAGGTATTTGGCGTGCAGGGCTGACTGTTAATCACCGTTTTATAAGGATTCTTAGTAAATCACATTAGTTCCCTAATGAGGGAGACCTATGATGAACAGGTATATACATTATAACACTGGAACAAAATATTGTTGCTGGAGGCTTTACTTATAATTAATGTAGTCCTTTCCTTTAAAATTCCAGAGGACCTGACTGGGACACTGAAATGTATGATGAAGGGAGTGCTACAGTCAGAGAGCTTCTTATTGAACTGTATGTCAGAGTTGGGGAAATTCGTCACTGGGGCCTGATCCGATACATCTCTGGGATCTTAAGGAAGAAAGTGGAAGCACTTGATGAGGTACTATAAATTCTTCTTGAACTTATCCTAAATCTAGATGGGGTGCTTTTTAAAAGTTGTGTTCCATAGTTATTTTTTAAGGCAACCACAGTCTCTAATCATTTGAGATGTTGTCTTTATCCATAAAGTTTCTGATATTCAGTTAGTTTTTTGTTTGTGAATGACAAATATACATTGCTAAGCTGTAAGAATTGTAAACTTATAGAGGTGTTATGAACCATAAGAATTCTATCTCTTAAGAATGAATTTATACTAGGTTAAAAGTTCCTACTGCCTAGGAGATGAAAAGACCTCATCATTTCTTCCTAGAAATCCCTCTTTCCTGATCTTCATGGTATTTCCTGAGAAAGTTTGGTGTATCATTAAGTTAAGAGGGAGCAAATGTTTCTAGGCTAACAAGAGAAGTGTTTGTGGAATATGAGGTGTTATGGGAAGGATAATCTTATGCTATCTCTTCTTAGGCCTGCACAGACCTTCTCTCCCACCAGAAACACTTAACAGTGGGACTCCCTCCAGAACCTCGAGAAAAGACCATCTCTGCGTGAGTATGGTTTTTGGTTAAGTTTGATCAGGTTTCTCTGAGCCTTAAAGGAGTGGTATGGGCTCACCACAATTCTTTTGCCCTAATCTGTCCATGGATGACAACATCCTACATGTGCACACTTCCATGAGAAACAGTCAGTGGGAGAACGCTGGTAACGACGGGGCACAAGTCAACAAAAGAGAAAACTCATAGAGAGTAGTACTTAAAGTTTTTTTTTTTAATTATTGGCTTTCCCAAATCCTTTCATTCAAAAAACAAAACCAACAGAGCAACTGAAATTAGCACCCACAAAAAGTCAGCTATAGTCTGGAAAAAGGAGGTGGAAGAAATTGTCTGGCTAGAGCATAGGGCTGATGATGAAATTCCGTGCTATTCAAAAAGGAATAAAGGGGGTAGAAATCATAGTCAAAGGGGAAAATGGGGACTTGCAGAGCATAGTGAGGTAGCACCCTTCCAAGAACACTGCCATCAGATTGCCACTGTCTCAGTTCTGTCACAGCTTCCAGTTGGAAACAGTGCTCTAGGATAGGCTTGGGCTGGAGGGAGTGGGGAGTCAAGTGACAGGCTGGGATGAAAAGTTTAATTCTTACACATGAGTCTTCCTTTTGCCACAAGCCATGCCAATAAAATTCATCTGCACTAAATCTGTTTAATTGCATGTCATGCCAGTTCCAGAATTTAAATCTATGAGCAGGGTGTATTTCCAAGAAATATTTTTAGAAGGATTCTAACTTCATTCATAACGAATCTGAAAAATCTGGTATTTTTGCTAAGGAGTAATTTAAAACAAGATATTCCCCCTGCCTGCCAATTCTACTTCTGTAGTCACTGTAGTGAAAAGTTTATTTTGTAAACAAAACATGCTGTAGATATAGAGCTTAATAAGGAAAAAATAAGAGAGAAGTAGTAAGCAGTGATACCTTTGCTGACATCTGTATACCACCTCTTTCCTGGTTTATGGCCATGATTTCTATTGCCTCTAAGATCCAGTTCCAACTCCTGTACGAAGGCTAAGAGAAACAGGTTCTAGGACCATGGGTCATAGGTTCCATGTGTAAAGTCCCAATTATGCTTTCAGGAAAATAGTCCTAGCGTAGTGTATTAGTTTTCTGAGGCTGCTGTAACAAAGTACTACAGACTGAGTAGTTTAAACAACAGAAATTTATTCTCTCACAGTTCTGGAGGCTAGAAACCCAAATCAGGATGTCAGCAGGATTGGTTCCTTCTGAAAGCTGTGAAGGACTTTGTTCCAGGCCTCTCTCCCTGACTTGTAGATGGCTTACTTCTCCCTATGTCTCTTCACGTTTCTTCCCTCTCTGCATGTCTCTGTGTCCAAATTTCCCCTCTTTATGAGGACGCCAGTCATACTGGATTAGAGCCCACCTTAAAGACTTCACTTAATTATCTCTGTAAAAACACTATCTCCAAATAAGGTCACAGTCTAATGTACTACGGATTAGGCTTTCAATGTATGAATTTTGGGGGGACACAATTCAACCCATGACACATTGCTCATGGCAAACAGAACCTTTTATTACAAATCAGATCAATTTTGTGACACTGTATGCAATCCAAAAGACGGTATGGTCCATGTCCCCAGAACAGGAGAGTCAGAAATGTGGGAGGATGTATGCACACTAGAGTGTGTGTGTGTGTGTGTGTGTGTGTGTGTGTGAGAGAGAGAGAGAGAGAGAGAGAGAGAGAATGTGAACCGGTGAAACTATAGAAAATCAGTATAACTCTGTATGGTGTGACTGTAAAACAATAACATAGCTTCTAAAAGGCACAGTTTAAAATTAGTTTATTACTTCTTAGCCATAATAGTTACCTATCAAATGTTAAGGACTAACCATGAAAGACTAGTCTAGAAAGGCATCATGGGGTGGGTCTTAAATAAAATTTTGAAGGAGTAAGACAGTCCAGGTTTAGAGGAGAGAGCAGAGCTCTGTTGAGCTGATATGGGCCAGAGTGGTTTGGGGAGGCAGTGAATGAGCTTTGCTATTGGTAGTGATGAGATGTTGAGGCGGTGACTTGGACTTGAGAAGAGCTTTGTTATTTTTTCAATATATTTAGGTTTAAATGGGTTGCAGAATTTTGTCTTTCTTCACTGTCTTCTTCCTCAGACCTCTGCCCTATGAGGCGCTTACTCAGCTAATAGATGAAGCCAGTGAAGGGGACATGAGCATTTCGATCCTTACACAGGTGAGCAGAGTTGTAAAGCCTAATCTGGTGGCTAAAGTTTTTTTTCAATTGATCTGGCAGTTTCCAAAGACAATAAAATAGGCATTGTGAGACCTGGGCTGTAATTTTTGTCTACATCCATTCTGTTTGCAGGAAATAATGGTATATCTAGCCATGTATATGCGAACTCAGCCTGGCCTGTTTGCTGAAATGTTTCGACTTCGAATTGGTCTGATCATACAAGTTATGGCAACAGAACTGGCCCACTCCCTTCGATGCTCAGGTACTCAACTGAGTAACCATTTTAGGCAAAATTTCTTGTAATATAGGTCTATGGAGTCTGGATCAAGACAGATAGAGAGCTAAAACATTTTTATCCATAGCTCAGAAGCTGCATATGGCTATCTTGTTCCCATGTTAATCAGTCACTATTTATACAAGTCAAGGGACTGATAGAATGACACATTTGTATATTAGCTCTGCAATTTCAAAATGCCACATCTTGGGGGCTCTGCACTCCTAATTCTTCTTAGCTAACTGCCCTTAGCTAACTCCATTTCTCGTAATTCCTTGAGTGTGACAGACCAGGTTGGGTTCTGATTCAGGCAGTGGAGATTGTAGATAGCAAGATTGAGTCACTACAACAGTGGATTGTAGTGTCAGTATTCGGCCTTGTCAACATCATGATCGAATAAAGGAAGAATATTTGTATTAATATGTATCTGACAAGACTCTCTTTGAAATTAAGTATAGGTATATTTGGCAAGATAACAGTTTTAGTTAGAAAAATAGTTGGGGCCTGTGGAAGCTGTGGCACAGAATTGTTTAATGTGTAAAGGGAAAAAAGGGACCCCTATGACATGACTGTTTTCAATAGGTATTTGTTTGATTTCAACAAGAATGGCAAAATAATAGAGATAGGGATGGTATAGAAAAATAAAATCACAGTTGCAAAAATCAATTTTAGCCATCATTTCAGTTAAATTTCCCCAAAAGGCTTTTAAGTGTGCTGTTAACAGGTAGCTAAATTTATTGGTTTGAGTCAAACCTAAATCAAACACATGACACAATTTCTATTTAAATAACCCTTTGAAGGAAGAGAGCTAACAATTATTTTATACCTATCATATGCCAGACACTGTGCTTTTTGCTTTGTATTTGCATACCTTGTCTCATTTAATCTTTACAACAACCCTCTGGAGAAGGTATTATTGTCCTATTTTTACCAGTAAGGAAACTGGAACTCAGAGCAGCTAGGTAACTTGCCCAAAGTAAGATAAGTAGTAAATAGTAGAATTGGAGGCAGGTCTGTCTGGTTTCAAACTATTTCCAATTCAGCATATTGTTATAGACAAACGTATTATATATGTTCTCTAGCTGTGGTATCAAGGGATGTTTTATGAGAGGGTGTAGCTGTTCAATAATAAACCTCAATGAGGGGTAAACCCCTGAACATTTCACTTTTCCTTAAATTCCTGTTATGGATATTTTTTCCTGTGGATTCATCAAAACCATGGCTCTTTATTCCTTAGAGGATAAAGTCAAGATACCTGGGTCTGAAATTCAAGACCCTCAACAGTCTGGCCTCTACTACTTTAACAGTACTTCCCACTAATTTTGTCAATCTCCATCCTTGGAGATTGATGTCACCTCTGATTTCCACTTATTGCCTATATCTCTCATTTAGCATATAGTATATGCAATGTTTTACTCTTGTTTATCTTCTTTACATGTTCCATCTCTCCCATATAAATAGTCAGCTTCTTAAGGTCAGGTACCATGTCATACCTGTTTGTACTCGCATTGCTTAAAATGAGGACCTACATGTAGTAAACTCTTAATAAGTGTCTGATGTTGATGAGCACGTTGGTTATCCTCTCAATATTCTTCTAATTTCATGGGTTCATATCAATTATTTTAAGTCTCTATATTTCCAGACTAAGAAGTTTTAGTTATTTTAGTCCATCTGCATACACACATTCATTGCTTTTCTATGAATGGCCTTCAGTTCCATTGTTCTCCTTTCATTCTTCCCACCTTCACCCTAATGGTATAGAAGAGGGATGAAGAAGAAATTAATGACCCAGCTGATCCACAAACGGGATAGTCAGTTCTTAAATAAGAATCTATTGCAGTATGAATACCTAAGCAGTATGATGCCAGACATTTTTTCTATAATTGTATACTTCCAATAAAGTGACAGAAATTCTAAGCAAGAAAGGAAATAGAGAAAAAAATAGGAAGGGCATGGCAGGCAAACCAGAAGTCCTTCTGTCCTACCATTTCTGCTGACTAGCTGAGGAAGCCACAGAAGGCCTGATGAATCTCAGCCCTTCAGCCATGAAGAACCTCCTGCATCACATTCTCAGTGGCAAGGAGTTTGGAGTGGAACGAAGTGGTAAGATTGAATAACTGCATTTTCATTTGAGTGTTTGGTTTAAGTGTCTTATTGGTTTTAAAGTGTTTTTCTTTTATCAAAGGAACCTTTTGCCCCAAAATAAATAAAACTCTAATATATAAAACAGTTAAAAGCAAAGCTGTCTTTTGGAATGAGATTTGGAAACCACTTGTCTTATTTTTTCTCTTAAATTATATGTGAACTACATGCATTGATTATTATCATGTTTTGTTTTTAACTGTTTTATCCATTCCTTTACATTATCCTAAGTCTCCGATTTTCGACAACTCACCACCTATGTTTTCTGAAACTTTCTTGTATTCTAATTGACTGTAGTTCAGTAACACCTACAGTGTTGTGTGTATGTGTTTGTGTGTGGCTGCTACAGTACATCTAATGCATCCTTTCAACTTTAAATTCAGATACATCTAGGAGATCATTCCAAACTAATATTCCACTTGCACTTGTGGTTTTGGCAGTATTCGGTGCTGCATACTTAAAGCAGGAGAGCAAATGAAAAGGGGTTATCTCTCATCCTCAACTTTTAGGCTTAAGATGAATAGATATATAAGGTCAAATGGATGGATGCCAGACCTTAGAGTGGTAAAAGAAAATTAGAAAGCAGTGTTCCTCAAGCTGGAGATCTTGCTAAAATGAAGATTCTGGTTCAGTAGGTCTGGGGTGGGACCTGAGATTCTGCTAACAAGCTCCTGAGTGATGCTGATGCTGCTGGGCCATGGACCACACTTTAAATAGCAAGGTTATAGTTGGGTTTTTTAAATTTAAGTTAAAAATAACAGAAGGAAATACATCTAAGCCTTTCTAATGTTTGTAGACAAAAACAATTGAACCTGATTATCCTCTCTCTTTCTCTTTAATCTTTTATGCTATGTAGTTCGTCCCACTGATTCAAATGTCAGTCCTGCTATTTCTATCCACGAGATTGGTGCTGTTGGAGCAACCAAAACGGAACGTACTGGGATCATGCAGTTAAAAAGTGAGATAAAGCAGGTATGATACTACTTGGTAGATTAGCTGGGATACTTCCATGTTTAAGAACATTCTTTCACAATCAGACTTTGTTCAGATCATTTATTTTATTTCATATCCTGAGTTTAATTTGAGCCGCTTATTTTTCAGGTGGAATTTCATAGACTGTCTATCTCAGCAGAGAGCCAGGTGAAACAACTAGGGATTCTTTAACATGCTTTAATGCACCTTTAGTTCTATATAACATGCATGAGCTCATGGCCTTTTTATAAATAAGATAACAAGCCATGGAGTAGCTTGTTTGAATCTCCTTCATAACAATCATTTTGCAGATAGCTTTCCTTTCTCTGGATCCAACTACTTTGCTAACTTTAGGAGGAGAGTAACTTGCATCTGATAGCAAGAAATTGAAGCCCTGAGTTCCTCTTGTTAGAACTCACATGTAATTTTGGAATTAATTTTCTTTATACAGCTAGACTTAGACTTCTTACTTTTAGAAATAGGTACTAAAGAGAACACCAGATTGAGTGAGGGACTTATTTTTTAAGATTATTTCCAGGTATTGTCCCCAAATTAAATTTTTATCATCACCGTGATAGAGGTTGACAAAGAGTCTTTGCTTGGCCAAAAGATAGATTTCTGAACATTCTCCTAAGCCCATCTGTGCACTTCCTTGTAAAATACAGTTTTAGCAAAAGAAACCTGCTAACTCAATTTAGTTAGGACTCCCGTCCTCCATATCTGATCATCCTCGATATCTGTTCAGGTTCCCCATCCTCCACCATCCCCCACCATCTCCCCGGTGATGTCTGATCAGCCTAGCATATGTTCAACAAGAATCATTTTACATCAGTTTAGCCAGAATTCCCTTTACCCCTGATGTTTCCTCTTAGTAATTTTCCATCCACTGACCTCCACACTGCTCCTTGGCTGTAAATTCCCACATGTCCATGCTGCACTCAGTGTTGAACCCGATCTCTCTCCCCCATTGCAAGACCCCGTTGCTGTGGTCCTTGTACCTGTGACAATGGCCCTGAATAAAGTTTTCCTTACTGTGCTTTAACAGGTATTACATTATGTTTTCTTTAACAAGGTATACAAAAGGTGTTGTGGACACATAGAGGAGAAGCATCTAAATCAGTCTGGGAGTTGGTAGGAGTCACTAAACACCATATTGTAGCCTCTTAACTTTTCCCTGCAGGTGAGAATAGATAGTTGTTGCATTCTACAAAGAAATAGTTAGCACAAACTTCCGTAGCTTCTTTTAAAACTCTGGGAAATCGTATGGTTTCAAGATCTCCAAGTTGAGAAGGTACTGATTTGGGCTCTCCTAGAAGCACTTTTTATGAAAACCTCAAAGCTACTACTCCTGTTTCAAAATGGAATTATGATAGCTTACAGTATTAAAACACATCCAGAAGAGGAGAGGTGAAATGGAAATTTTGGTTTTTTTAAAAAAAGGAATCAGAAACCAAAGAGAATGAGCCAAACATAATTTGAGTACACTCATTCAAATACCCTTTGGCATTTATATCTATGCAAGAGCAAGAATGGAATGGAATAAGAAAGGGCCTTGTGTTAGTGTTAACTTTATAGATTTTTATAGTTTTTTCCCAAATAATTTGAATAATCTGAACTACATTCAATATTAAATAAGCTGATGTTGTTAGTAAACAGTCCTTGTTTTGGCTGAGAGTGATTAGCTAAGCATTTTACAGTTGTTTATAGTCCCATGGTATTACTTACAAGTTCATTATATATTTAGAACTTGAAGTCCATGTTCCCAGATAGATTAATATGATATGAAGACTTGTCCTATCCAACTACATCATTTAGGGTTTTTTTTTTTTCACACATTCACTATTTATAGGTCTTCAAGGGAGCCAGAATCATTAAGACTATAATTTAGAGGATTGAGATCCCTAAATTTTCATTACTTTCTTATTTCTAAATATTGATTTCCATCCTCACCTGCATGTCTAGTATTTTGTATTATTCTAAGCCCTTTTCTCTACCACTCACTAATACCCTCTTTTCTGATTATGGAAAAAAACATTTTTAAGGTAGTTTTATTTGTTTTGCCCTTTACCATGACTTCTAGAGTAAAGCTGTTTCATCAGCTTTTTAATGATAACATGCTGGCTAGTTACTTAAGTGGTTCATACTTTTACTCTACTAATAACTTTTAAAATCACAAGTAATGGTTTCCTTGTCTCATCTCTTTTAAAATTTTATTTTTTCCATTTTTTTCATAGTCCAATGGTGGTCATCCCCTGGGTATAGATTTGATGTCACCGTCTAGTCTGGTAACTGCTATTATCTTATAGTATATGCCATTCACAAGTGCCTTGAATATGGTGTTATATAAATCATGACATATACCGGCTAACTAAAAAAATAAACAAAATGAATCAAGAACTAAATAAGTATAAAGCAAATTCATATATTGTGGTAAAGTCTTTCCATTTGTTTCCCAATAAGGCAGGGAAGGGAGTTCAACTCCAACCTCTTTTCCATTTCAGAAAATAAAATTCAATTTAATAAGTGTTTTTTAAGTATCTATTCACTTATTCTTTCAACTAATATAATTTATTACATCCCTACTATGCACCAGCCACTGTACTAGACAGCATTAGTATTACCTATGAACTTATTTGAAATGCAAATTCTTGGTACCCACCCTAGGCATACTGAATCAGAAAGACGGGGTAAGGCCCAGCAATATAGGTTTTCATAAGATCTATAGGTGATTCTGATGCACTTTTTAGTTTGAAAACCACTGGGTTAGCTGTCCCTCTGATTATTTATTCATTTAGTAAATGTTAATTTTGTACCTGGCCCTGGAGATACAACAGTAAATAAAATGGATGCGGTTTAGGAAGACTGATCTCTAATTAAATTTCTTTGGCTTGAATCAATGATTCATAATTGCCTATGATTTCAGATCACCCAGGCTGAAGAGATTTAGGCCGTATAACAACTGAACAAAAAATGGAAAGCTATTGGAAACAAAATTGGTATTTTAGTTAACCTTAACCAAATACCCTGTAATGAATTTCTTGTATTAAGACGTGGCCAACTCTGTCATATCCATATTAATAGAGGATGTAGTTACAGAAGAGAATTTAGCCTAAAAACTCAAAACTATTGATATTTGAGTTTGGAAAACAGTCTGAATTGTACTCCATCAGATACATATCCTTTCTGGTTTGACCCCACTGTCAACAGCCTAAGATTTTGGTGGTAGAGACAAGACAATGAAGATAAATTAAATAGCAGTTCATTTACTTGACAGATCAGTGTGATAGTCACTGGCTGATAGAAATGTTTAGGGGCACTTTTTTCTTTTACATAGCAATGGTTGGTAATTTAGGCATTTGGCCCAAATTAAAATGTGAGAAACTCTTTTCTCAGAAAATATTTCTATTATCTTATTTCTATTTTATATTTATTCCTGAATCTAAACTGTCAAATAACCACTTTCCCCAATGTATTTTATTCTTTACTCAATAGAAGTGTTTCAAAGTTCATTATGTTGTAGCATGTATCAATACTTCATTCCTTTTTTATTACTGAATAATATCCTATTGTATTGATACACCACATTTTATTTATCTGTTTATCCGTTGATGGACATCTGGATTGTTTTCACTTTTTGGTTATTATGAATCCTGCTGCTATGAACCTTCACGTACAAGTTTTTGCATGGATATGTTTTTTTTTTTTTTTTTTTCTCTTGTGTATATATCTAGGAGTAGAAGTACTGGGTCATATGGTAATTATGTTTGGCATTCTGAAGAACTACCAAACTTTTCCAAAGGGGCTGCGCCATTTTACATTCCTACCAGCAATGTATGAGGGTTCTAATTTTTTTCACATACTCACCAACCCTTGCAATTGTCTGTCTTTTTCATTATAGCCATCCTAGTGGATTTGAAGTGGGATCTCATTATAGTTTTGATTTTCGTTTCCCTAATGGCTAATGATATTGAGCATCTTTTCATGTGCCTATTGGCCATTTGTTTATCTTCTTTGGAAAAATGACAATTCAAATCCTTGGCCCATTTTTATTGGGGGATTTTTTGTTTGTTTTTTGGATTTTTTATTTGTTTGTTTGTTTTTTGTCTTTTTAGTATTGAGTTGCAAGTATTCTTTCTATATTCTGGATACAAATATCTTATCAAATACGTGATTTGCAAATATTTTCTCTCATTCTTTGGGTTGTCTTTTCACTCTCTTAATGGTATTCTTTGAAGAATGAAAGTTTTTGATTTTGACAAAGTCCAATTTATTTATTTTTACTATTGTTGCTGTGTTTTTGGTGTCATATCTAAGAAGGCTTTGCCTAACCCAAGGTCACAAAGATTTATTTCTGTTTTTTTGTTCTAAGAGTTTATAGTTTTAGCTCTTACATTTGGGTCTTTGGTTATGTTGCGAGGGTCCCCAAGACCACCCTGGGTTTGATTATTCACTAGGACTCACAGGACTCAGCACACAGCCATGCTCAACAGCTATGATTTATTACAGCAGAAGGATGCAAAGCAAAGGAAAAAGGTGTGTTTGCCAAAGTCCAGGGAAAACAGATACAAGTTTCCAGAGTACTCTTCCAGTGCAATCACACAAGATGCACTTAATTCCTCCTGCAATGAGATGTGACAACATGTGTGAAATGTTACCAACCAGGGAAACTCACTAAAGACTCAGCACCCAGGGTTTTTATTGGGGGCTGGTCCTATAAACAGCCTGTCTGGCATGTACCAAACTCCAGACTCCCAGGAAGAAAACAAGTGTTCAGCATAAACCATAGTGTTTGTACAAACAGGTTAGGCACAGAAAAGCTACTGTTATCCATCCTGTGAATGGTAGGAGCCCTCTCAAAATCCAAGTTTCCATATACCAGCCAATGGCCAACCTTCTAAGCAAGCTTTTCTAAGAAGGGCAGTTCTAGCTTGATGTGTTAACGCATTTCTGCACAGGGATCCATTTGGACTTAATTTTTGTGTATGGTGTGAGGTAGAGGGTCCAACTTCATTCTTTTTCATGTGGGTATTCAATTGTTCCAGCACCATTTGTTGGTGGACTACCTTTCCTCCTTTAATTCTCTTGGCACCCTTGTTGAAAATTAATTGACCAGAATATAATGTTTTATTTCTGAACTCCCAATTCTATTCCATTGATCTATATGTATATAATTATGTTTTAATTATTGTAGCTTTGTAGTAAATTTTGAAATCAGGAAGTGTGAGTCCTCCAACTTCAGTCTTCTTTTTAAGATTGTATTAGCTATCATAGGTCCCTTGAATTTCAAGGGACCAGCTTGTCAATTTCTGTGAAGAACCAGGTGGGATTTTAATAGGGATTGTGTTCAGTCTGTAGATCAATTTGGGGAGTATTGCCATCTTAACAATGTTAGGTCTTCCGATCCAATGAACATGGGATTTCTTACCATTTATTTAAGTTTTTAATTGCTTTCAACGTGTTTTATACTTTTAAGGGTACTGCACAAGTAGTTATTTTGTACTTCTTTTGTTAAATTTACTCCTAAGTATTTTATTCTTTTTGATGCTATTTTAAATGAAATTGTTTTAACTTCATTTTCAGATTATCAGTTGCTACTGTTTAGGAAAACAATTGATTTGTTTTTGTAGTAGGAACATTTAACATGAGATCTACTCTTTAAAAAAATTTTTAATTGTACAATACAGTATCATTAACTATAGGCATGATGTTGCACAGTAGATTTTTAGAATTTATTTATCATGCATAATCAAAATTATTTTTACTTGCTTTATCAGCTTTGTGTCTTGCATTTTTATTTACATTTTAACAGCTTTATTGAGATATATTATTCACATACCATATAATTCAGTCATTTAAGGTATACAATTCAATTTTTTTAGTATATTCACAGAATGTGCAACTATTACCACAACCAATTTTAATTTTCATCACCCCAAAAAGATACTCTGTACTCATTCACAATCACTCCCCCATTTCCTCCCCACTCTCAGGCCCCCGACCCTAGGCAGCCACTAATCTACTGGATATTTCATATCAATGGAATCGTATACTATGTGGCCTTTTGTGTCTGGCTTCTTTTGCTTAGTGTAATGTTTTCAAGACTCATTCATGTTGCAGCATGTATCAGCACGTCATTCCTTTTGTGACCAAATAATATTTCCTTGTATGGATATACCAACTTTGTCTTTCATCAGTTGATGGACTTTTGGTTTACTTCTCTTTTTTGGCTATTTTAAAAAAATTTTTATTGAAACACATTGATTGTACATATGTATGGGGTACAGAGTTATATTTCAATATGTGTATACACCGTGTGATGATCTATTCAGGGTAATTAGCATATTGATCATTGCAAAACTTAATCATTTCTTTGTGATATGTGCATTTGATCTCCTCTCTTCTAGTTGTTCGGTGACATGCAGTAAATTATTGTTAATTATAAATTCCTGGGCTGACTATACACCAATAGGACTTATTGTTCTTATCTAGCTGTAATTTTGTGTCCATTAACCAGCTTCTCACTATCCCCCCCTCCTGCCTCCCCTTTCCCGCCTCTACTAACCACAGTTCTTCCCTCTCCTTTTAACAGTTCTTTTTATCCGTTGAGTAGCAAGTTCCAATTTTCCCCTGTCCCCAGCCCCTGGCAACCAACATTCTCTCTCTGCTTTTATGAGTTTGGCTGTTTTAGATACCTTACATAACTGGAATCATAGAGTATTTGCCCTTTTGTGGCTGGCTTATTTCACTTAGCATAATGTTCTCCAGGTTCATCCATGTTGCCATATATTGCAAGATTCTTTTCTTTTTTTAAGGCTGAATAATATTCCATTGTATGTATATACCACACTTTCTTTTGCCATTCAACTGCCAATAGACATTTAGATTGTTTTCCTATCTTGGCTATTGTGAATACCGCTGCATTGAACATGGGAGTGCAAATATCTCTCCAAGATCTTGATTTCAGTTCTTTTGACTAAGTATCCAGAAGTGGAACTGCTAGATCATATGATAGTTCTGTTTTTAATTTTTTGAGGAACCTCCATTCTGCTTTCCATAGTGGCTGCACTAATTTACATTCCCACCAGCAGCGTACAAGGGTTCCAATTTCTTCACATCCTCACCAACACTCAGTATCTTTCGGTTTTTGGTAATGGCTATCCTAACAGGTGTGAGGTTATATCTGATTGTAGGTTGATTTGCATTTCCATAATAATTAATGATGTTGAGCATTTTTTCATATACCTTTTGGCTATTTGTATGTCTTCTTTGGAGAAATGTCTATTCAAGTGAAATGTAATTGATTTTATTTATCTTATATCGTACAACTTTACTGAACTCATTTATTGGTTGTAGTTGCTTTTTAGTGAATTCCTTAGAATTATCTATATATAATATCATGTCATTTGCAAAGGGAGATGGTTTTACTTCTTCCTTTCCTATCTGGATGCCTTTTATCTCTTTGCTTGCTGAATTGCCCTGGCTAGAACCCCCAGTACAATGTTGAATAGAAGTGATTAAAGTAAATGTCCTTGTCTTGTTCTGATCTTAGGAGGGAAAGCATCAGTCTTCAACCACTCGTTATGACGTTAGCTGTGGATTTTTGGAGGAAAAAAAAACTAACCTGTTATTAGATTGAGAAAGCTTCCTTCTGTTCCTAGTTTGTTGAGTGTTTTTATCATGAAAATGTGTTGAATTTTGAATGCTTTTTCTGCATCTATTAAGATGTTGTGTTTTTTATCCTTTATTCTTTTGATATAGTGTATTACATTAATTGATGTCCAGATGTTAAAACAACTTTGAATTCCTTGAATAAACCCCACTTCATCATGCTGTCTGACCCTTTTTACATATCACTGAATTCAGTTTGCTGGTATTTTGTTGAGGATTTTTGCATCTATATTCATAAGGATATTGGACAATAGTTTTCTTTTCTTGTGATATCTTTGTCTGGTTTGGGTATCAGGGTAACACTGGCCTCATAGAATGAGTTGGGAAGTGTTCCCTCTTCTCTTTTTTGGAAGAGTTTGTGAAGAACTAGTGTTAATTCTTTTAAAAATATTTTGTAGAATTAACAAGTGAAGTCATCTGTGCTTGGACTTTTCTTTGTGGGAAGTTTTGTACTTAATAATTAAATCTCTTTATTTGTTATAGGTCTATTCAGATTTTCTGTTTCTTTTTGAGTAAGTTTGGGTAGTTTGTGTCTTTCTAGGAATTTGTCCATTTCATCTAGGTTATGTAATTTGTTAGCATATGGCTGCTGATGGTATGTCCTTATAATCTTTTATTTCTGTGAGGTTGGAATTGATGTCCCCTCTCTCTTTCCTCTTTTGTTCTTGATCCATCTAACTAAAGATTTGTGCATTTTGCTGATATTTTCATAGAAACAAATTTTAGTTTTATTGATTTTCTCTATTGTTTTTCTGCTCTCTGTTTCATTTCTTTCCACTCTAATCTTTATTATTTCCCTTCATCTGCTTGCTTTCAATTTAGCTTAATCTTTTTTTTTTTTCATTGCCTTAAGGTGAAAGATTTGGTTATTGATTTGAGATCTTTATTCTTTTTTGATGCAGGCATTTATAACATAAATTTCTCTTTTGGTATGCTGTATTTTCATTTATTTTCAACTCAGAGTATTTTCTAATTTTTCTTGTGATTTTGTTCCTTAATGCATTGATTATTTAGGAGTGTGTTGTTTAATTTTTACATATTGGTTAATTTCCTAAATTTCCTTCTGTCACTGATTTAATTCCATTGTGGTTAGAGAACATACTTCATATGATTTCAGTTCTTTTAAATTTATGGGGGCTTGTGTTATGGCCCATGAGAGCAACAAACTAAGCCATAGACCAGCTGGAAGTTTAACAGAGATAACCAGGTAAAGAGACATCTAAGAATGTCCCATGTCATCAGTATTCTTGTGGATCTTCGTATGTATCACCGAATTGCTTTTTAAAAGGATTGTACCAGTTCACAGCACTAATAGCTACTAGCTTCACTCTAACCTCTTTATCTTGGCTGTTTCACTTAATACATGTTTTACAGTTCTGCAAAGTTTATTGATTGTTCACTGTGCTATACTTTATCAAAGAAAAAAGGTAACTCTTGATTTATGATCTTTCCTCTTTTCTTCTCCCAAGTCACCTGGAACCTCTGTGACTCCAACTAGTGGGTCCTTTCCTAGTGCATATGGTCAACAGACATCTAAAGATAGTCGTCAAGGTCAATGGCAACGCCGAAGAAGGCTGGATGGAGCACTGAATAGAGTCCCAGTTGGATTTTATCAAAAAGTATGGAAGGTTTTGCAGAAGGTGAGAATAATATATTGTTAATGTCTTTTTATCTCCCCCCTTGAAATCCTCAGTCTCCTTGGCTGAGATATGACACGACTATAACATCACTGTAATTATGTAAAAGTCATATACTCAGATGAACACACCCTAGAAGAAAACATAAAAATGAAACAGTTGATTTGTTATGGTGGCATTATTGATAACTTAGACTCTTTCCATTATTGTTGGTATAGTGTTTTTTCTAAATCAGATTTTTTAAAATAATCATTTCTCTGCTTTTGGCCACAGTTGGACATTGTGGGGCATTGTGATACATTTGCTGCTGAAGAGCTCACTTTCTTTGTAGCTGTTCTGGACTGGAAATGTTATTCGACTGGCAGCATACCATTCATAACCAGTTATCACTATAGTAAAACAATGTAGCATCTGAGGAGTTTGTGTAAGGAGCTCTTACCTATATTTTTTCCTGGGTGAAAACTACTAAATAAATGCAAAGTCATAATAATGCTAATAATTCAATGACTGTCTTGTTATGACCAATATTTATTTTTCTTTCAAAAGCATATTTTGCCTAACACATTTGCCAAAGACAGGGGGCATATCACATCATTATGGTGATGGCAGTTTCAGAAGACCAAGAATATTTTTGTGCTCATTCATAGGTCTCATTCATAGTCTTTTAGGTGCCACTTTTTGCTTCATGGCCCTTGATAAGGACCTAAAGAACACTTCATGCAGGACTTCAAAATCTCTAGTTTACATTTTTTCTCCTCAGCATACCAATACCCTTCCAGGGTCAGAATCAGGTGATCTTTTGGAAAGGTGAAAGTTGATTCTTCAGACTGTTGGCTCTGGTGATCTTCCTTTCAAAAAGTACCTAGAACTTGCATTCCTCTCAGCTAACTTCTATAGCACAATGGTGACAAATATGCATTTTATCTCCTCAGTTATGCATGGATTATGGCAATTTAATTTAACAGACATGTATTAGGTGCTGTGTTACCCAGATACCATGTAAGGTACCTAATCCTTGTCATCAGGGAGTTTAGCGTATAGTCTTCTTAATCTATAGTCTTCTTTAAAAGCATCTATGATGCATGGCAAAAATGTGTTGTAATAAAGGTGCAAAACCACAGGCTGCAGGAATACAAAAGAAGGAACATTTAAGTCTGACTGGGAAGATTGGGTATTTTGTGGCAAAATCAAAACTTGGACTTGGGATCTTAATGTAAGAAGCAAAACACATGCCCCCAGAGTATGAACGTAACATAGTCATTTTGCACATATGTTTAAAGGATGGTATTTCTCTGTATAAAGACTGTTATTTGGTGTATGGAATATGGGATGAAGTGTCTAGTACAGTCAGTGAACTTGCTGGATTGAAATCTTTATCTGTGGTTGTTTAATATATAATGTTTTGATTTATTTAAAATCTAAAATGGCAAGTCATTAATTCCCATTGCTTTTTAATAATTGAGTTGATAGTGAGAGGGAGATAAAATATCATTCATTCATACAATATTTATTGAGCATCCGTTGTGCAACAGGCAATATTCTAGGTGCTCATACAGCAAAGAGCAAAACAGACAACAATTTCTGTCCTCATGGAACTTCCATTCTGCTAGCGAGAAAAAATTATAAATAATAAACATAGTAAATAAGTAAAGTATATAGAGTATTAAAAGATGATAAGTACTATGGAAAAAGTAGAGCAGGATAAAAGCACTGATGGGAATATGGGATGCTTCACTAGAAAATGTAGCAATGGTACATGTCTGGTAAATGCATAACTTGAGTTTTTTCCTGCAGCCTGAAAATCTTTCTGAAAGCCTGTGATGGTTCTTGGACCCAGCATGATATCCTCCCAGATAGTCTCTGAATAATTGGGGCTAGTCTATCTCAGAAGGCAGATCTTCCCTATCCATTCTACTCCCCAAGTACAGGATGAACTTTGGGTCTCCTATAGCCCAACCCTGCATTTTGGCACTTAGGAGTCCCAACCTCATGGCAAGGGCACTTGGGCTGCAGGTCCTCTCGCTGGCCTGTGATTACTTAGCTCATACCCAGTGAAGCACACTTAGAAATATGAAGTGTCTCCTTAAAGCCTCCCAGTTGTTGGCCTAGCCCTGGTGACAAGATGTTTTTTCTGTTTTGCAGTGTCATGGACTTTCTGTGGAAGGTTTTGTTCTTCCATCTTCAACTACTAAGGAGGTAAGATTCTGTGTCTTTCCCATTTATGTGACTGGTAGCTTGCCTGGCTAAAGTATTTCAGTGATCATTTTTCACAGTAACAGACCTATGCTTTTATAAATCAACTGATCATGAAATGAACCTGAAAAAAGAAGAGAATGTTTTTTTAAAAATTGAATGAGAATATTAGACCATAATTATGTGTTACATTAATTGTATAAGGGCAGCTTCTTTTAATGGCTTATTAAGTTAGGCTGGTTTGCTTGAGAGTTGAAGAGGGCAGAAAGGATAGAAATCTAAGAATGAATGACTTCTCGTGTCCCTCTGTCCTTCTCATTCCCACCTTTCTCTAGTAGGATGCTTGTAGACCATTAGAACATAAACCAGTGGTCCTTAGATCTAACTATATGTTGGAGTACCGTGGGCTGCCATCTTCAATTTAATGGATAAGAATTTCCAGGGATGGGACCTCAGCATCTGTATTTTTTTAAAATCTATAGAATGATCCTGATATATAACCATGGTTGGGAAACACTGCCGCAAACCACAGACATAGAATATTGAATGCTTTTATATTTTCTGTTTTGTCCAAAATCACACAGAAATGATAAAGAACTAGCTTTTATAGAATCAGCAAAGGAACTATTATTAGCAAGCTAGGAGTAGTAAGATTGGGCAGTAGAAAATTCTTAAAAACTCTGAAGTTGTTGCAGATAGCGACTGGGGGGTGGGTGGGGGCAGGTACAGAAAGCTAATGCTATGCTTTAGGGCTTCACTCTTGCCCTCAGGCCTTTTCTTTAATAAAGAACACCATGTTTCCTATTTGTTTTTCTCTGCCTTTCAACAAGACTGAAATGTTAATAGAATTAAAAATAATACAAGGACACTTCAAAAAGTTTGTGGAAAAATAGAATTAAATAATATAAATCTCTCCATGAATTTTTTGAAGTACCCTCATTCATACCTCAATAGTACCATTAAGAGTCTTCAAAGCATTTGCACATTATTTAATTTGATCTTCAGCACAACTATGTGAGATAGCTTAAGAAGAGATTATCATTTCCAATTTACAAATAAGGGAACAAATTTAGAGAAATTAATTGTCCGAGATCATATAACCAGTAACTGACGAAGACAGGACTTGAACCCAGGAGTTTAGACTCCAAATCTACATTGCCTCCCTAGAGTATATACTCAATATGATTTTACCAAAAATTGTTACTCCGTCCTCTCCACCCTAAAATAACTTTACATTTCTTAATGCCCATTTTAACCTAATGGTATGTAGGTGTTTTACATAATTCTAATTATCATCTATATACAATTTTAAGTTCTAATTAAATTTTTCCTTCATCCACAGTCATTAGATTTATTCTTTTGAATGGCTCTATAAAAACTCGTGAAGTTGCTATGCCATGACATACCATTATTTACACAGCCATTCCCATGTTTAAGTACTTCTAGTTTTATACTTGTGATTAATGTTGCTATAAACACTCTTGCATATAGAGCTTTTTTCCTTTTAGGAATTATTTCCTTGGGATCAACTCCTAGAAATAGGATTATGGATTAGAGGGCATTGACACTTTTATGACTCTTGTTATGCATTGCGAGATTGCTTTCCAAAAAGATTGAACCAATTTATTCACTTAGTTACCTTAAAGGGGCTAACGCAGTGTTCACAGCTACAGTGTTTTCACTGCCTTTCAGAGCAGGTAATTGATGCCTCCTGAGTGATGGGCTCTTAGGAAGTGATTTTCTTTCTCTCTCTCACAGATGACTCCAGGCGAGATTAAATTCTCTGTTCATGTGGAATCTGTCCTGAATCGTGTACCTCAGCCAGAGTACCGCCAGCTTCTGGTTGAAGCTATCCTTGTCCTCACCATGCTGGCAGACATTGAAATTCATAGCATTGGAAGCATCATTGCTGTGGAAAAAATAGTGCATATTGCCAATGACTTGTTCCTTCAAGAACAGGTAGGTAAACCTGTTGTTTTCTCAAAGGTGAATGTTTGCTAACCTGACTGCATTCAGAGCATTTCACGAAGGCAAGGTCACTTTCTTGTGCCCTCTTTCTCGTAGCTCTTTTCTGGGCCTCCTTTGTAGTGGCTCTGAACTCTGTTTGCAAAAGTGGTAGGCTACAGGACCACCTCTGTCTTTCACCATATGTTTTGTGCTTTGTGTTATATGGTAAATTTGCCTGGAACTCAAGAGGTTTATGCTCTTCCCTGAAAAGCCCTGAAGCATAGCATTAGCATCATATTTTAAATTCCTGATCACAATGCTTTTTGTAGCTTTAAGAACTTAATAAGAGACTATTGGGTAGCATATCCTTCTGGACTACTAAGAAAAGAGAAGATTTGCTTTTGCTGTTCTACTTACCCATAGGAAAATAATGAAGGGAAACTTTCATTTCTACATTTTTCTTATTTTCTTAGTAAATCTTCTTCCAGGAAATTAACTACATTAAAAAATAAAAACTGTTTATTGAAAGTGTTCGAAACATTGCCTAGATTAGGAGTGAAGCACATAAGGTGAAGGACATACACTGTTGTCAATAGGAAAATCTCTAAAACATAACAGGTATTTCATTCTATTAGACACTGTGAGAGGATGCAGAAGAAAAGAATCCAGGATTTTCTAGGACAATCCTAACTTTAAATATTCTAGATTGCTGTCAGTCTGTGTATCGGAAAATGTGATCTTTTTTAGGCATATACTCTAGCCTTGGAAAGCTGACAGTCTATTTCAATTAAGTTGGCTTAGAAAGAAATAATTATCAAACATAAGATAAAAGAATACAAGCTGAAATTGGTAGTACTAGAAGGAATCAGACCAAAGTCCTCTAGGGTGATTTGTGTTAACATTTGTCTCTTAACAGGTATGACTCATTTAATTAACTATTATATTTAACTTTGGAAAACTCATTGTACTGGGGAAAATTCTGAGCAATTAATCGCTTTAAAATAATGTACATGAGTTTGGGATCTAGTAAAAATTGCATGTATAGAAACTCATATTCACTCTTTCGTGCATAACCCTGAACCCTTCCTGGCTAAACAGCCTAGGGTCCAACTAATTGGTGATGGGGAGGAGCCTCTGAGTTATACTAATCGGGACTTTACTTAGTAGGATTAGTAATTTTTCCTTTCCCCTGTGTTCTTTCACCCTTAACAACCAAACAGAAAACTCTCGGCGCAGATGACATCATGTTGGCAAAGGATCCTGCATCTGGCATCTGTACTCTTCTGTATGACAGTGCACCTAGTGGCAGGTTTGGCACCATGACCTACCTCTCCAAGGCAGCTGCCACCTACGTGCAGGAGTTCCTGCCACACAGCATCTGTGCCATGCAGTGAAGGCTTTGGGTCCAGGCTGCTAGGAGTCTTTTGACAGCTGGTCCCTGCCTCAGTTAATTGTGCATGGAACTGAAATGTTATTGCCTGATCACTCCTATCCTGCCCCCTTCTATCCCATCCCTCCCAAGAAGAGAGAACTTTTCAGATAAACTAACTGCCTTAGGAGAGGTGGACCTTTACCTGGAGGCTCACCTCCAGTGTGCATATGGTCAACCAGGCCTTTCATTATTGGCTTAATTCTTTGATGGTTCATAAAAGTTTGCATGTGGTTTTTTTTCCTCCAGATCTGTTACCAACTTCATTTTCTAACTCCTGTTTGGGGAGCAGGTATTAATAACAACTTATTCCTAAAGTCTGTGTTTTCTTGTGTGTGGTTTTATTGTGTGTATGAGTGGTAGGTCCTTTGGGGCATTATTTCAAGTGAGTAAATCCTAAATTGTTGCATTTTATGCTGCCATAAATTGGAAATATTCATTTTAAGTGCCTTTTCTTGGGAAAAGAGAGTACCAGATCATAGTTTCCTTCTTTACTCACAGCTTACCTCACACTAAGTGATGAAATAGTTTCTGTGTAGAATTATTGTCTCTGTTGTTGCCCTCTCTGTATCTGCACATACAATGCCTACTCTCACTCTGGTGAACTATCGAAAACTGCAAATGCAGCATTATATTTAAGGATTTCTGTATTAACATTTGAAATCACATTTTATGAAGATTGCTGATACTCAGAGATACATTTGCAGCAGAAAATGCAGAATAAGCCAGAGAAATGGAGCCAGGAGCCCAATTCCAGAGAGGAGGAGAAAGAAAAGATGCCTGGGCAGTGTCTTATACATAGGGAGTAGAGAGGGATTCAGAGGGGGGTTAGTTCCCTGAAGACTGCCTTGTGCACCTTATCCTTGCATCTGAAGAATGAGCTGACACACAACACAGAGAAGAATTGAAGCCTCTGTCTTTGGCAAAGAGAAAATCAGCAGTCCAGTCTACAGCTGCTCTGCCAGGCACCTCTTTGCTTATGCTCTTGGTCTCTGACTCACTCACCTACTCACGTCCTACCACATCCAGCTACACCCCCTATCTCTCTGCCCTCCTCCGTCTATTCTTAAATTCGTTCCCTTATATTTTCACTTCCTAATTCTAGTGTTCATACCCCTGTGTATCTTGGTATCTGTGGACATATATCTGTTTCTTGTAAATATGTGTGTGTGTGTGCGTGTGCGTGTGTGTGTGTGTGTTCACATGCGTGTGCATGTGTGTGTGTGCGTGTGCATGTGTGTGTGTGTATGGGAATTTTTCTGAATGTAAGTACTTTTGATATATATGTCTGTATACCTATTTGTATCTACATTTGACGGACTGAGTATGTAAATATGAATGTTGCATGTGAGAGAAGGAGTGTGATCTCAAGATGACACACAAAGGGTAATGGGAGAATACCTTCAGTCCTCTCCCCTGGTCCCACGAATACGTAGCCTTCCTTGACAAATGTGTCTCCTAACTTTCCTTCTTCCAATTCGTGGGTAGAGACTCTGCTCATTTCCCTGTTTGTACTCAGATAATTTCTTACTTTAATCCTCTCTTTTCCCTCAAGTTTTTAAGGTTTTTCCCCCAAGAACGGGAATAAGGAAGTTGGGGATGGGAGACTCTCTAAATAATTCTTACAGAATGAGTGACAGTCTTATAAGGACACTAAATAAGTGAGCACAGTAGGGTGATAGAAAACAGATGGTGGAAACAAAGAGAGGATGGCCAACCTTTTCAGTACTTCCCTCAGAACAAATGGAGACATACAGTAAGTAGCTTTCTGTGTACATGATTTTCTGGCACTTTTAAAGAAAATCTACAAGCTGTTCTAAAACTGTTTGTCTTTTTACTGGCTGTAAGTGTACCCCATTCACAGAGAGTACATCTGGTGTGCCAGAAGTGAAAGCCACCAGTCCTGCCCACACTCATTAGCCTGAACTGACACTGATGACTGCATTTCTCTGGGTTTGCTAAAATGTCTGTCACTATGATCCTCATACAGTTGTATTTAAATTGTAAATCAACTTTTTAGAAAACTCTACTTGTATTTTGTTCATTTTAAGTATGAGACTAAAAAGATATGTTAGATTTTTTTAAAGCACTTATGTTTTGAAAATAGAATAAAGAATAAGAATTTCCAATTAAATCATGTCTGGTGACAGTGCGCAAAATTTTATTTGCATTTTTGTGACTAAAGTTTATTTCATGGCTTTATTTTACATATTCTGTTTAGTTACACAGTACCGTCAAAGATCATTAATTGGGTCAAAGTAGAATAATATTAATATTAATACATATATCATGTATTATACACTATATAATATGTTAGTTAATATATGAAAAGAAATGCAGCTTTATCATTCAAATACATACCTGCTCAAACGAGGCTCACTAAATTCAAACAGGTTTATTGACATCTTTAGGAAACCTGTTCTCATAAATGAATAAAGCAAATTTTTACTAAGCATTCCAATTTTGTACAAATGGTGTTTCTTCACTACTGGAGGGTACTTAAAAATTATTTGTTCTCCTAAATATTAAAACTGTTTGGCAGAATCATGTTTATACTCTTCATCAGCCTTTTCTATAATAAGAGAGAGTTTATCCAGCAAGGATGAACAGTATCTCTATGGTCCCATCCTGGTTAATTATTATTTACCACATTCTGGGAATTTTATACAAATGGTGAGGCAAAAGTTGTTCTTCGCCACAGCTCACAAAAACCTCTACCATCCCTTTTTGCACTGACCAAATGCCTAGTATCTGTACTAATGCAGTGAAGATAAATACAGTATTTTCCACATTTGGTCTTCATTTCCTGTTTAATTTGAGTGATCCCAGGTCTTGATTTGTCCAGGATAGTCCCCATTTATGCCTGTTATCCCGGCATAATTATTAATAGCACTCTCTGTCTCTCAGAAATGTCCCAGTTTGGATGATATGGTCACCCTATATTTAACAGAAGTCTGATTTCTTTTAAGGCTATGCCCAAAAGCCAAGGACCTGTTCTCAAACCACTAGTAGTGCTCTTGCAGTAGTGGTGTGGGGGTAAGGATAACAGTGGGGGTAGACTTTCCCCCCAAAATTAAGAAATATTTGGCATAATGATTCTTAAAACAAATAACCAATATTGGGGTTCTTACCAAATGCCAGACGTTATATAGACACTTGGCATGGGCCTTCTTATCTTCAAAATTGCCATGTGAGGTAGATATTATTGGCATTCCCATCTTATAGGTGAGGGAACTGAGGCACTGAGAGTTTAAGCAAATGACCCAAGGTCAATCAGCTAAAATGTGGTAGAACCAGGATTTGAACCCAGACAGTCTGACTCTAGAGTTTACGTTCTTAACAACTCCACTCTCCAAGGAAAAGATATTATGGGGTGGTGTGAAAACATGGGTCAGTCTGTTGAATACAGTTGAAGCATCAGTGGAATGAGCAAAGAAGGTGGTTTGCTTTTCCTCCTGCCTGCTTGTATGAAAAATATAGGAAAATGGTCAGGGCTCCCTTGGATGTTCGGAATCTTGCTGAGCATTTGATGTAAATATGTAACTAACTGCGCGTGTGCCCAGGTGTTCCTGGGCTGTTGTCTGATGTAGATGCACGTGGGCACGCAGGTGTTCCTGGGTTGCCTGACTCACACCCAGGTTGTCCTGCGTTGTCAGATTTAAGTATAAGGGATGAACAGCTCTGATGCACAGGGCTCCTCCACCCCCAGGGCCACCCTGGGGAGAAGGGGCACGGGGAGGCCGCTACTGCTGCTGGAGGCTGTTGCTGGAAGCTGTTGCTGCCAGGGCCCCCGGGACCCTCTCGGAGGCCACTGCTGCTGCTGCTGCTGCTGAGGAAGCTGAGGACTGAACTCCTGTCATCTGCCAACGGCTCCCAGGATCTTTCCCAATTACCTAGCTCATGACCTGTGTGTGAGGGGTCTGTGACCCAGTCTGTACAACAGGTTTGAAGACTCTGTGAGCCCTAGCCCTAGCAATACAGTTGGCTATGTTGGCAGGATTCCAACAATTACCTTAACCAGACACCGCTTCTGCCAGCAAGTGAAGGCAAGAGAGAGTACCAAAAGAAGTGGTGTGGTCCAGCGTGACCTTGATGGCTCAGACATTATCTTTAGCAATAATGGTTGAGGAAAGTGATTCAAGTAACTTACCCAGGGTCACTACGCTAGCAAGCTTTGGAGCCAAGATTCAACCTACTTCCTCTGACTTCAAGTCCCTCAACTGCAAATCCAGTGCTTTGGGAAGGGTTTTCTTCCCAGGGTATTAAGCATGTGGAAAATTGAGATTAGGGATCTGTGGCATGATTTGTTCTCTGTCTTACTTATGAGTAAGGATCCAGCCTCCCTATGAGATTTGCTACAGGAATACATTGCCAGTTCCAGAGCACTGTGTAACAATTTCTCTATCTCCATAGTTAAGCCATCTTGCCACATTGTTTGCCCTACTGGGATACTGTTTCCAGTTTAGAAGCAATGCCCATGTGTTGAAGTGCTCAGCTATCTGTTGCCAGATCTGAAATAACACATAAAACAATCTATTTTCATGTAATCTGATTAGAGTCCATAATTTAAGGAGTCAGTTGCCCAGTCTGTCCTGTCCTCTTCCTTCCACTGCCTATCCCTCAAGGCCCAGGACAAGTCCTATTTCCTTCTTGTGTTGCCAACCTGTTATGATCTCACCTTTTAGTGAACTCCTACATCCTCCATGGACTCCTTTCCCTCTGTCTATTAACGTGCAGTTCTCTTATCCTAAAAAGCATTTCTGGGCTCTGATGTCCCTTCAGGCTGATAGACTAACTCCTTCCTTTCACAATCACATTTCTTCAAGGAGGAAACTACACTTAACTGTGTTAGCTTCACTTTTTAACTGACATCCCCTCCCACCCACAACCCACCCCCCACAATCTGGCTTCCTCCTCTACCTCCTTTTTTTTCATAGCTCACCAGTGAGCTTCTGCTGGAGAAAGGGGTCTGACACTTTTGAAATACATGACATTGTTATCATCTCTTCCTTCATGAAGCTCTCTCCTCTCCTGATTTCTGTGAAACTGTCCTACCAAACTATTTCCCTTTTGTCTCCTTTCTGGTATTTTTTTCTCCCCTGAACCCCCACAAACAGGCATTTCCCAAAATTACACTTTTCTTCTGGGCTCAAAGATTCCCACCAAGGTGTGGGGCAGGTTTCAGTGACATGATCCAATTTACTTTTTTTTAGAAGCTCACTATGGTGGCTGGAAAGAGAATAGGTTGTAGGGCAGCAAGAGTGGAAATAGAGACTGGATAGATATTGCAGAAAGCCTAGGCAAGAGGTAATAGTGCCCAGACTGGGGTGGTGGCAGTGCAGAGGGAAAGAAGTGGGTGTATTTAAGGCGTGTCTTGGAGGTGGAACTGATGGAAATTGCTGATGGATTGGATCTGCAGGTGAAGGAAAAGGAGGGAACACAAATAACTCCCAGGTTTCTGGTCTAGGCACCTGGATAGATATTGGTATCTTTACTAAGCTTGAAAGATGGGGAAGGGGTGGAAAGGACTTGGATGGGGAAATCAGGAGTTTGGTTTTGAAAATGTTAAGTTGGATATGACTATTAGATGTCCCGGTGGAGAAAGCCATGTTCCCTTGGCTATCTCAGCCACTGTTAATGACTTCAGCTATCTCCTCTTCATGTGGAGAAATATGTGTGTGTGTGTCACTGTAATTGTTTAACCCATTGATTTATGAAACTCAACATTTTTTAACTTTTCAAATCAGACTCATGTCCATTCTGCCCTATCCTATGAGTTCTTCCACCTGATTGCCCTCTTTCTTATATTGGTACTACTAGCCTTCTCTTCATCAGGCTTTAAATTTAAGAGTTTTCAGTGACTCTCTTCTATATCTCTCCCTCTCATCAATATCCATGTATTAAGGAAGTCCTGTTGAACCTACCCTGTGCATTGTTTCTCCCTCTCTATTCCCGTTGTCCCCACCCTAGTTTAACTGATCATCACTTCTTATCTAAACTACTGCAGTCATCTTGCTGCCTCTCTAGTCTTTCAATAAATAATCTCTCCTACACATTGCTGCTGTAGAAATCTTTTTTTTTTTAAGATTTCTGTCTAAATGTCTCCCCATTTTCCACAGAATGAAGTCTATTCCCTTTAGCCTAGATTTCAAAGCCCTTCATAGTCTGGCCCCTTCACTCAAATTAGACTAGAAATTTTCTCCTTTGTGTTTTTGCTTATGCTGTTCATTCTAGTCAGCACACCCTCCTCTGGCTCCCATCTTTACCAAGCAAAAGCCTGTGCACCCTCTAAGGCCCCCTCAAATGCCACCAAATAAGAATCTAGTTACCATTTATTAAATACTGGTTAATAAGTACTTAATGCTTATTTTTTAAGTAAGCTAAGCATCCTACATCCATTATCTGACTCTGCATTGCATATAATTTCCTGTATATTTACCTCATCTTCTTTACAAGAATGCAAATTCCTTGAGAAAAGATATCAGATTGTAATTCATCTTTGAATCTTCAGCTGTTTTGTACACTTAGCTGATGTCAGGTAAATGTTTGATGAATGACTGAATGATTACAGAGCTTTGAAGTACTTGCTATGGGAAGATATAAAAGAAGCATAAGAGCTTATGCTCTACTTAGAAAACACATCACACACACACACACACACACACACACACACACACACAATTTCCAGAACACTAAGCATTGAAGGGATACTAAATAGAAGGTTAAACAAAGTTCAATGTAGCACCAAGTCATCCTGGAGAAATCAAGTTTATATAGTGAAGGGAGTGTTCAAAGGCTTCAGTGTCAGGCAGACCTTACTTTGAATTCCTGCTTTTCTGTTGGTTAAGTGTGTGACTTTGGATAGATGTTTTCTCTCTCTAAACTGCATCTGTAAAATGGGCATATTACAACCTTAAACAGGACTGTTGCAAGGATAAAATGAGATAACACATCCAAAGTGCATACTACAATGCTTAATAAATGTTTAAAGAGTAAAAAGCAAGCTAAGATTTTTTTAAAAGATAAGGATATTACATTGTCTCAGGGGTGTTAGTAGGTCACTTCAGGTCGCTGTGAGAATTCAGGCCTGGGCATTGGCCAGCTTGAATCAAATCATAAGGGCCTCCAGATTCTGGAAATGCTGAGGGTAATTTTAATACTGCCTCAGGATGGTCCTTAATGTGGACACTCACAACAAACCTAAAATATTTTCCTAACCTTTGTTTAGCTGCAGAAACAAAAAGAAGGAGGGAAGAAGAGCTTCAGTTTTCAAACAGCACTGAAAGTATCTGTTTGCATTCCTCCTACCACACGAATGTTCAAGGAGTACATTTGACATGTTGCTTGATTGGAATCTACCAAGCAATTTCCACAGTACCAGCCAGACTCTTGGAAAAGTGTTATCAGATTTTCCAGAGTAAATTATTGAGATTGTTTATCCTCTTACATGGACATGGATAGTTAGTGATGAAAAGAAATGAACTAAAGTGGTATCACACAATTTACTGTGTAAACTTTTCAAGCTATTTGCACCATTAATTAGTACCCCAAACAAAAAGCCCATCTTTAGAATAGGCAGCTGATGTAGCTGGCTGGTGGTGGGCTCTAGGTGGCCACATTGTATCTGTCTTTAAGTATTGAAATGGCTGTATTTTTAGATTGAAACAATTCATAAGGAGTTGAGACTGCTTTTTTTTTTTTTTTTTTTTTTTTTTTTTTTTTTTTTTTTTTTTCTTCCAGCGCTAAAACTCAAATTCGCGGCTATTTTAGAGATTAGCCCCAGCTCTTCCGCTACTCAAACCCCTAGAAACTACATCTCCCAGTATGCTCCGAAGCTGGTCTGACCTCATCTCAAATGGCCCCGTAGGGCAACAAGGATGGTTAGTTTTGACAGTACTTATTCGTGCCATAAAAAATCGATCCTAACTCGCAGCTGTTTGGGCTTTTATATCCGCCGGGCCCCTTTTTTCGAACTGTGGTCACTAAATAAAGGGTTTCTGGCCTGGGAAGGCCTATCCATTCCTTCAATTGAATGGGGAGCGGGGACAGTGTCTCCGGCGATCTCAAGAATAGGAGGGAACGTTGACCAGGGAACACCGCTGCGGCCGATCAGAGGAGCAGGAACCGGAGCCCGGGCTGAGTCCGAAAAACGGGGGATCTGGACGTTGGCTCCGGAACGGTTGGAAGTGGAAGATGGAAGAGCCGGAGGAACCAGCGGAAGGTGGGCAGTCGTTGCCGCCGGTCTACATCTATAGTCCCGAGTATGTCAGTATGTGCGACTCCCTGGCCAAGGTTCCCAAACGGGTAAGAGAGGTCGGAATGAAAGACTGAAGGCTTTTGCGGTGAGGGTGGTGGACGGGAGGGCAGTAGGAAGCGGAGAGGATACTAGGCTGGGGAAAATCTTCAGCAGAAATTTGGTTAGCAGTATCAGACACCTAACGCTGTAACAGGAAGAAGTGTTCTCTTATCGTTTCGGAGAGCGCAGAGCGTCCCTGCGGGGCGTCCAACGTACAGGCGGGGGGAGGGGAGGGGTTGGGGCACGGAGTGTTGGGGGATGACAGGGAGGGGATAGAGTTTTTACTTCAAGGGGATCGCTGAAGTGGAAAAGAAGCTGCGGGAGTAAGGAGTTCCATCACCTGCGTAAAGCCGGGTATCTTTCACCTATTAGGGCTTTGATACTTTGTACTGTCTAAAGTGTATTGTAACTATTAAGTAACAGAAGGGAAGAGAGCTAAAACAAAGTTAGTTCCTTTGCTCGGGATGGCGAAATTGACGGGATTTTGCTGAATTAAACTTTTAAGAGACTATTTTCTTGCTTTTTTTATGCTGATGTTTTTAGGCCAGTATGGTACATTCTTTGATTGAAGCATATGCACTGCATAAGCAAATGAGGTAAGTTGTCTTTCGTGAAGACCTAGCCCTGAAGCTAGGTGTTCCTAGCCTTAATATCCTGCTTCCCAGTGGGGCTAATTAGGAAGAGAATGCTGTTTGGTTGGGTTTTTTTTAGATTTTCATGACAGTATTCACAGTGTTTGTAATCTGCCTGTAACGCGTGAAAGCTCTTGAAGAATTAAGAAAACTTGAAAAAAGTGCATGACGCAGTTAAGATCCATTAGAAATAGTACTTCTTAACTGGCTGGGAAAGTATCCTAGGGATAGGTACTTTGTGGACAGAGTTAAGTGCTTCCTTCAAAAAAACGAGGTTGCTTTTTGTTGCCATTTCTGTATTTGATGTCATTATAAGAGCAAATACAGTCAAGTGCTGCATACCGACTTTTCAGTCAACGAAGTACCGCATTATAATGAAGATGAAAAATTCCTATCGCCTAGTGACATCGTAGCCGTCATAACGTCATAGCCATCATAACGTCGAAGCGCAACTACTTTATTTTTTATAAATTTAGTGTAGCCCATGTACAGTGTTTATAAAGTCTACAGTAGCGGACAGCAATGTCCTAGACCTTCATATTCACTCACTGCTCACTCACTGTCTCACCCAGAGTAACTTCCAGTCCTGCAAGCTCCATTCATAGTAAGTGTCTTATACGGGTGTACAATTTTTTATCTTTTATATGTATTTTTACTGTACCCTTTCTATGTTTAGATATGTTTAGATACACAAATACATACCATTGTGTTACGATTGCCTACTGTATTCAGCAGAGTAACATACTGTACAGGTTTGTAGCCTAGGAGCAATAGGCTGTACCACATGGCCTAAGTGTGCAGTAGGCTGTACCATCTAGGTTTGCGGAAGTACACTGTAAAGTTCACACAATGACAAAGTCGCCTAACAATGCATTTCTCAGAACGTATCCCCGTTGTTAAGCAATGCATGGCTATATTATAACCCTGCCATCTATAGGATTATTTATGACATTTTCTGGCTAAATAGATGAGTGTCTATGCCAGCTAGTTTGGTATGTTTTATTTATCTCCCAGAGGTAGTGTAATGGGCTTTCAGATTTTATCCTTATTATTAACAAAATCGTTTTCTGAGTACCTTCTTCAGGAGTGTTTTTCAGCCATTTTTTAACCCATATGTTTGGGAAACATGATATTCACATGCCTTCCATTGAAGTTATTTAACATTTCAGAAAATTATTTTATGATAAACAAGATAACAAAACAAAGTAAAACTGCCCAGTTTCCTTGCTGTTAGACAGGCTTTCAGTAAGTGTTTTTTAACTGTAACATTTAACAAAATAAGTTAGAGGGTGCTAGAAGTACCTACTAGGGCTAGAAAACATGGCCCAAGAAATTATAAAATTTTTATTTTAATTGCTAATTTTTCACCTCTGATGGTATAGGCATATTTTCTTGAAGAAGCAAGGACTTTTGGATCTTGGCTATATATTTAATTTTTGAGGCTGGACCACAGGATTTCTCCTGGCCACCTTGGTGATAGTAGTAACTCATGGCCATGTTCCCATTCAGCAAACATAAAGAGCCACTTACTGCCTCCCTGTGGCCTAGGTCAGTGTGCCTTCAACTTGAATGTGCATATGAATCACATCATCTTGTTAAAATACAAAATCTGATTCAATAGGTCTAAGGTAAGGCTGAAGTTCTGCATTTCTAACAAGTTCCCAGGAGATGCTGATGCTGTTGGTCCACAGACCACCTTTAAGGGGCAAGGGCTGGAGAATGGTAGTGGCAGTGGCGATGTCAAGAAGAGGAAATGGAAAATAGGCAGCCAGAGGTTAGAGGTGGTGAGTCCTGGTGTTAGGTTAGCTCTCTGTATCTCTCACTCACTCCTATTTGTCACATCTTGTGAGGAGAAGGTTGAGAGGTTCTGAGTGAAGCGCACCATTTTGCTCCTTCTCTCCTTCCTCTCAGAGGCAGATGTGAGTGACCAAGTATCAAAACTTTGTACATTTTGTGTTGCCTATTTTTATCCTTTAGTATTAATAATAATGATAGTTATCCACAAAACATTTTTGTGTATATTGTCATTTAGTCTTTACATAAGTCTCATAAGGCTCCCCATTTTACAGATGAGGAAACTGAGCTATAGAAGAGTCAATTTACCTGAGATTATACAGCTAATAAATACAGACTTAGGACAGTGGCCCAGCTCTCTGACTCCAAATCTGACTCCAAATTCAAAATGCATTAAAATACAGCTGTGTATTATAATAAAGATATAGCTGAAAGGATTATATAGCCCAATTAGCAACTGATTCAAATGAAAATATCTGCCTACTGGTTCATCATGAAAGTTATAACTCACAGAGTAAAGTTTGATACCTAATCATTCGTTTTACTCAAATATAATTACTCACTTATTTTCACCTACCTATATGTCAGTCTATCCTCTTGCCCCTTATTAATGAAGTCATTACCATAGATGTGAGGAAGTGAAGACTGTACAGTGTAGGGGAGGAAGAGAATATGTTTATCACTTCTGTCCACTGGAACCAGAAGCTGGGAGCTGTATATTCTGCTCAGACAGCTGGCTCATGTTTCCAACTTCTGGCATACTCTGTGTCTGACTCACTCAACTCTCTTTGTTGTCTCTGTTATTATTAGGATAGTGAAGCCCAAAGTGGCCTCCATGGAGGAGATGGCCACCTTCCACACTGATGCCTATCTGCAGCACCTCCAGAAGGTTAGCCAAGAAGGCGATGATGATCATCCAGACTCCATAGAATATGGGCTAGGTAAAGTCATTACCAGGCACTGATGGAGATCAACAACCTCCATCTGTAGATTATGCTATTTAATTTTTTATAACTTGCATCATGGTTTTTAATAATTTTTAATTAAGAAAGAGTGTATTCTCTGTCAGTCTTAATCTTGGGTTAGCTATATATAACTCACTAAACAATAAAACCATATGAGTTGAGCAAAATTGGATGATGGGTCAGATGGAGGAAAACCTTGTAGTTGCTTAGGCCCTAATGGCAGTGCTCACATCTGGTCTGGCTGTATATATGCTGATTCAGTTGAACACAGATTTATGTTCTGGCTAAGTATTCCACCTTATCTCTCATTAAACAGTTGCATTTTTTAAAACCGTAAGTGGCCAATAGGATAGTCTAGAGAAACAGCATGGTTTAGTTGGTCACTGGACTGAAAATGAGCCCTGAGCCTGGCTCTGTGTGACCACTGACAAAACACATCGCCTCTCAGGCCTTGGTTTCCCCATCTGTAGGATGTGACTAGTTCATCTTGAAGGTTTATCCTTTCTAGCTCTAACATTTTAAAATATTCTTTCCCCAACACTGGAGATGTTTCTGTCTTAGTTGGAGCTGATGTTAGCACAATAGCTTTTTAGTAGGGCATGTTGTTGTCACACCCCAATCTATTCTTCCTCTTTCTCCAGTTCATCTTTTAACAAGCTCTTCCAATTTTTGCCCTAAGGTTATGACTGCCCAGCCACCGAAGGGATATTTGACTATGCAGCAGCTGTAGGAGGAGCCACAATCACAGCTGCCCAATGCCTGATCGACGGAATGTGCAAAATAGCAATTAACTGGTCTGGAGGGTGGCATCATGCAAAGAAGTAAGAAAATAATCTTTCTGCTTTCTGACTCTTTCCTCGAGTCAATTTCTCAGTTTTGTAAACTTTTATGGTTATTGTATTGACATTTATTAGGAGACATGTGTATATAGCACTTTACGAGGCATTCCAAAGAGATGCAAGTGAGATAGAAGACGGCCTAATATAGTGGAAAGCGCACTGTTGAAAATCAGGACACCTGGGTTCTGCGCTAACTTGCCTAACTGACTTGGATGGATTAACCTCCCTAGGCCTTAGTTTCTTCATCAGCAAAATGTGCAGGGCAAAAGATATAATTAAACAGTCTCTAAATTCCTTTTCAGCTTTTGGAAATTCGCCTGTCTTCATGGGACTTACACTCTAGAAATATTAACAAAATTAGAATAATTAGAGAACAACGTCAATTATGGTACCAATGGAATATATGTATGAGCTGAAGAAACTTAGCAGTAAAGAGGAATTGATCACAGAGGTCCTGGGAGAGGTAAATTTAAGAGCTAATTCTTGAAAGAAGTGGCAAACATTTTTGAATAGGTGGAGAACTAATGAGAATAGATTTTAAACAAAAGGCTGAAGAATCAAGAAAGAGGCTTGTATTGCCGTCTCTAAGAAAAGTGGCAACCTAAAGTTGGATGTCTCTCTAAGGAGAAAGGGCATGTGAAACGGCTCTTCTCAGGTGCTATTTGGAGTTAAAGGAAAAGTCCTTTTGGAGCTGTGTGTTAACATGTCAAACAACGATACTCTGACAAGGACTGCTGGGCCTTCTTCAGCATTTGGCATCTTGTTTGATATGTCTGTTGTACTTAATATATGTTGGGGGAGAAGGATTTTTTGAAACTCTGAATTTATCAATCTGTTGTCTGAATGAAATGAAGCAGCTGTGGTAGTAACTGCTGATGCATCATTCACAAATCAGCTGTTTGTGCAATTGACTGTGGCCTTGATGATATTCTCAGGTGCTCTTGAAAAGTCAAGAGAAAATAACATTGTTTTTCAGAATAAAACACAGCACAATTTGAGCATATGTAGGCTAAGATAATAACATAGAATTCTTTTCATCAATTGACAGACTTCATGACCAGGGAAGTCCTTGAAAAAGTTTACTACTAGAACCTACTACTTTGGCAACAGAGCAAAGAGAACCAACGTTTTAGTAATGAGTTTTACGTGGTGTTAAGAACAAAGAAAAACAGCTTGGCTTTTGTTAGCTTTTGCTTTGATTTTTAAATATTCAAAATAGAGTGATCCCCAGGAGAAAAAATGACCCTCTCTCCTTCAAGCTACAGAATGAAAGGAGAACACCAAGCTTCTCTGAATCAAGGATTTCCATGTCCTCTTGGGCTTAGCAAGTTGAGAAGAAAAGTAGTGTGGTTTCATAGAAAATGCCTGCTCCTATGAGTTAGATCTAGTTTCTTATGGATTTAAATTCACTGCAGGAGGTCTGCTAGGGCCCAGGTCAGTTTCCAGTGGAGTACTCAGATGCCTGCCACTTCTCATTATGATTTTGCTGCCAAAGGAAGCACACTCTATCTTGAGCCAGTCATGGCTGTTCCTGGGCTGTGTGTAGGTGCAGGCATACCAACATATCACTGTCTTAACTGTTTTGGACAGCTTTCAGCTGATCCTTTAAGCTAACCCTGCCCAGAAACAGATATACCTGCAGTGAATGTAAATTACAGTGTCTCTAAAGATCGCCCCAATTCAGGTCTGAATTCCAGGGTGTTCTTGGCACATCTAGAACCTCTCTGCAGAAGGACTACAGGCATTTAGCCCACGAACTTATATCTAACCAGCATTTACCTATTATAATTACAATATTTGTTTAAACCTCCCCATTTCCAAATACATATACAGGTTTGTACATGCCATTTCCTTTTTTTTAATCCAGTTTTTTTTTTAATTGAAACATAATTGATTTTAATTGAAACATAATACCTGTGGAGTGCCACGTTGAATATCAATACCTGTGTGCAATATGTGATGCTCAAATCAGGATAATTAGTATATTCAACATTGCACAATGTAATCATTTTTTGTGGCCCTTTACCAATTCCTCACTAACCCCCCTCCCCCTCCTCCTTTCCCACCTCTGGCACCCTCAGTTCATTGATCTTCACGCCCCTTTACCCATTCCTCTCTACCCCTTCCCCTCCTCCCCCACATCATATCTGTTCACTTGACTTAAATAGTTCAAGGAATTTTTGTGGTTATTTTGTCTTCTTCCCCCGCTACCCTTGATTTGTTTGTGTGTTTATTTATTTATTTATTTTTAGCTCCCACAAATAAGTGACAACATGTGGTATTTCTCTTTCTGTGCCTGACTTGTTTCACTTAGTATAATTTTCTCTAAGTCCATCCATGTTGTTGTGAATGGTAGTATTTTGTTCTTTTTTATAGCAGAGACGTATTCCATTGTGTACATATACCACAGTTTCCTTATCTAGTCATCAGATGATGGACATTTGGGCTGGTTCCAACTCTTGGCTACTGTAAATAGTGCTGCTGTAAACATTGGAGTACAGGTATCCCTTTGGCATGATGATTTCCATTCCTCTGGGTATATTCCCAACAGTGGAATAGCTGGGTCATATGGTAGATCTATCTGTAATTGTTTGAGGAACCTCCATACCATTTTCCATAAAGGCTGCACCAATTTGCAGTCCCACCAACAGTGCATGAGAGTTCCTTTCTCTCCACAACCTCTCCAGCACTTACAATTCTCACTCTGTTGGATATTAGCCATCTTGACTGGAGTGAGATGGTATCTCAAAGTGGTCTTGATTTGTGTTTCCCAGATGCTGAGTGAGGTTGAGCATTTTTTCATGTGTCTGTTGGCCACTCGTATATCTTCCTTTGAGCAGCTCCTTTGCCCATTTTTTAATTGGAGTATTTGGTTTTTTGCTGTAAAGTTGTTTGAGTTCCTTGTAAATTCTGGATATTAATCCTTTGTCAGATGTATATTTTGTGAATATTTTCTCCCACTCTGTTGGTTGTCTTTTTACTCTATTGTTTCTTTTGCTATGCAGAAGATTTTTAGTTTGATATAACCCCATTTGTTTATTTTCCCTGTAGTTGCCTGTGCTTTTTGGATCCTATTCATGAAGTCTGTACCCATTCCTACTTCCTGGAGTGTTTCCCCTATGTTTTCTTTAAGGAGTTTCATTGTTTCAGGATGTATATTTAATTCTTTAATCCATTTTGAGTTGATTTTGGTATATGGTGAAAGGTACAGGGCTAGTTTCAATCTTCTACATATGAGTATCCAATTCTCCCAGCAACACTTGTTGAAAAGGCAGTCTCTTCCCCAGTATGTAGATTTGCTGCCTTTGTCCAAGATCAGATGGCTGTAGGCATATAGATTGATTTTGGGGTTCTCTATTCTATTCCATTGATCTGTGTGTCTGTTTTTATGCCAGTATCATGCTGTTTGGTTTATTATAGCTTTGTAGTATAGTTTAAAGTCAGGTAGTGTTATGCCTCCAGCTTTTTTTTTTTTTTTTTTTTTTTTTACTCAGGATTGCTTTGGCTATGCGTGGTCTTTTGTTGTTCCATATAAATGTCTGGATAGCTTTTTCCATCTCAGAGAAAAATGTCATTGGAATTTTGATGGGGATTGCATTGAATCTGTAGATCACTTTGGGTAAGATGGACATTTTCACAATGTGAATTCTTCCAATCCAAGAGCAAGGGATATCTTTCCATCTTCTTGTGTCTTCTTTAATTTCTCTCAACAGTGGTTTGTAGTTCTCATCATAGAGATTTTTCACATCCTTGTTCCGCTTTATTCCTAAGTATTTTATTTTTTTGGTGGCTGTTGTAAATGGGCTAGCTTTCTTGATTTCTTTTTCTGCGTATTCACTGTTGGAGTGTAGAAATGCTACTCATTTTTGTGTGTTGAGTTTGTATCCTGCAACTTTGCTGAAATCATTTATCAACTCTAAGAGTTTTTGTATAGAGTCTTCAGGCTGTTCAGTATATAGGATCATATCATCCACAAAAAGGGACAGCTTGACTTCATCATTTCCAATCTGGATGCCCTTTATTTCCTTCTCTTCTCTGATTGCTCTGGCTAGTACTTCCAACACTATGTCGAATAGGAGTGGTGAAAGTGGGCATCCTTGTCTAGTTCGTGTTTTTAAGGGAAAAGCTTTCAGCAGTGGGCTTAGCGTATATGGCTTTAATTATGTTGAGACACTTTCCATCTATGCCTAACTTATAAAGAGTTTTTATAATGAAAGGATGTTGAGTTTTGTCAAATGCTTTTTCAGCATCAATAGAGATAATCATGTGGTTTTTGTCTTTGCTTTTATTGATGTGATGTATCACATTTATTGATTTGTGTATGTTGAGCCAACCTTGCATCCCTGGGATGAATCCCACTTGATCGTGGTGTATAATTTTCTGTATGTGTTGCTGTATTCTGTTAGCTAGTATTTTATTGAGGATTATATCATCTATATTCATCAAGGGTATTGGCCTGTAGTTTTCTATTTTTGATGAATCTTTGTCTGGTTTTGGTATCAGGGTGATGTTTCTCTCATCGATGAGTTTGGGAGAACAGCCTCTGTTTCAATCTTTTGGAACAGTTTGTAGAGAATTGGTATCAGTTCTTCTTTGAAGGTTTGGTAGAACTCTGCAGTGAACCCTTCCGGTCCTAGGCTTTTTTTGTTGGGAGCCTTCTGATAACAGCTTCAATCTCTTATATTGTTATTGGTCTGTTCAGAATTTCTATATCTTCTTGGCTCAGTTTTGGTAGTTTGTATGCATCAAGAAATTTATCCATTTCCTCCATATTATCAAATTTGTTGGCATATAGTTGTTTATAGTAGTCTCTGATGATTCCTTGTATTTCTGAGGTTCAGGTTTTGGTATGATATGTCATTATTTTCATTAGTTTCAAGAATTTTTTTGATTTCCTGTTTAATTTCTTCTTGGACCCACATGTCATTGAGTAGAATGTTGTTTAATTTCCATGTGTTTGTATAGTTTTCAGAGTTTTGTTT